TTTGACAGTTTTGGTAAATTTTTGTTGGACATATTGAAGTAGATAAGGTATTTGAGTTTTGATATTTAAATATTGGTTTTAGGTTGATTTATGGGTAGGAATGTGTTAAAAGGTAAATAATGAAGTAATAAGGTATGATATTTGATTTAGTTTCATAATTTTATTTGGTTTTGTTCATTTAAAGGTTTTTTCTTGCTTTGTCTTAATTTTGTTTTGGGATAGGCTAAATGTAATTAAAATTTTAATGGTTTTATATTTTGTATGAAATTTTGAATTGTAATATAATTTATATTATGTTTTTGTTAAGGTTTTGTTATATTAATTTTGAATGTTATGGTTTTGATTATTATGATGATTTTTATAATTTTTGTATTGGTATAAAAACTTTGTTTATAACTTTTTGTGGGTGAAATATAAGACGTTAGCTGTAGGTTAGAATTTTGTGTAATTTATGTTTGCTGAGAAGGGTCCAGCTCCCTCCACTGCAGGAGGAGCTTCTGCACCTCCCAAGGGATGCAGGAACCCCTGACTAAGGAATATCTGCACTTTTATCCACACTTGAACCATCACTCTGAGTCTTCAGCAGGAGAAGGTTAAGGAAATAATTATCATGCACCAATTAGCAGAAAGGAGGAATAAAGCCAGGAAGGGCTCAGCACACTTGTAACCATTAAAAATGCATGCACACACCAAAGGCTGCTCACCCTTCCTGCAGCAGGTTTAACCCTCAAAGTGAGGTTTGGAAAACAAAGTGGAACCTCCCTTCCCAAGCTATTGCTGCAGCCCTGCCACCCAGAATTCCTGTTATTGAGGGAACAGCCACTGCATGCCAGCTCAAATCACTGCCTGGACTTCCCTCTCCAGCTTGGGCCACCCCACACCTTGAAAAGCTGAAAAAGGCAGCCCTGAAATGTCTGTCTCCACTGAAACACCAAAAAAAATTCCATAAAATTTTATTTAATTAACTAAAAAAAAAATCCCAACTTCTGCGTTGTTTGAACATTGTAATTTTCAGCAGTTCACCTTCCCAAATTCAAACCCACAGGAATGATTATAACCTGCAGTGAAAGTGGCTTTCAGTGGTTCTTGCACCTCAACATTTTAATTCCAACATGTTTGAGTATATAAAAGGCAAAAGAAATTAGGTATAAGCACCAGCAGAGTGCTAGCAAAGCTCTGCTCAAACCACATCCCAAGATCACATGGAATTTTACCTGTTTACTGCAAAAATCCATAGCTGTAGCACAAGTCAATTTAAAAATAAAGTCCTAATGTTTTTTATATATATATATATATACACCCCCTATAAATTCTCCACTACCCAAGAATTTTTGAATATCCATAATCCTAAAGGAGGTACAAATTCCAAGCCTCTTTCTGTGCTCTACAGCCTTAAATCCTTGTACAATTCTTAGAGTTTTCTTATAAGGAAACTTTTTTTTTCCCCATGCATGCACCCAAAGCCTTGAAAACTTCAAATTTAAGAAAAAATTTAAAAGCAAAATAATAAACAACTACAGTCAACAGCAGCTCATCAACTTCCACAAGGACATAAATATTTGAACAGATAAAGAGGAATTCTTGCTAAGAACACAAGACTGCAGTCTTTCATTCTGTGTCAGCTTGAAGGCTACTCCCCCAGCAGATAGGAAAAAAAAAATCCAGTCTACCCAGCCCAAAAAGTTGGGAACATCTGAGAAAGTTTCCAGTGGCAGTTCTGCTCCGTGGTGATAAACTGGAAAGGAAAATTCCAGTTTTTGCAAGGAGAAACGGGAGCAGTGGGATGTGTGAAAGAAGCAACTGCCTCGTTTAATGTAAAGCACCTTAATTTTCTGTGTAGGTCTCTGCAACTTCTTATCTCTCTCCAAACACACTTATTTTGTCTACACTTATTCAGCTTCCCCAATATTTATAAAAATCAGTGAAAAAAAGCCTAAAACTGCTACACAGCAAGATCTGCTGATCTTCCTGCACAACACAGGGACCTGGGGACTTAGCTGTTTAAAATCATTGATCTTCCACAAAACTTCAGCAAAGCATCCAACTGCACCAGAATTCCAGACTGGGTTGGGATGGGAGGGACTCAAAGACCTCCTCCATCCCTTGTCCCCAGTCCCTCTCCAGCTCTCCTGGAGCCCCTTCAGGCCCTGGCAGGGCTCTGAGCTCTCCCTGGAGCTGCTCCTCTCCAGGTGAGCCCCCCCAGGTGTCCCAGCCTGGCTCCATGAGAGGGATGCTCCTGCCTTTGGAGCATCCCCTTGCCCCCAGAACCCCTCCCTGTGCCCAGCCCTGGTCTCCAGCAGTGCCCCAGGAGATGCCAGCTGTGCTTTCTGCCCTCCCTTCCCCTCCTGGCTCTCCTCTCTCAGAGGCTGCACCCAGCACATCCCTGCATCTGAGCTCTGGCCCTGGCTGCCCCCACAACCCCCAGGAAAAACAAACTCCAGAAAAGATAAAAAAATCCCTTTACTTCCTTTTAACTCCCCTCTTAAGGCTGTCAGCAAGTGCCTGCCCTTGTACAAACCCCAGAGCACAGGAGACCAGTGCCCCACCTGTGGGGAGGTGCAGCACCCCCAACCCCTGCACCCCTCTGCCCCTTCCTGGGGTTTGGAACCAGCACAGCACTCAGTGGCTGCCCCAAGGCCCTGTGACAGTGGGATGACAGCAGGGTGACCCTATGGCTGTGTTCAAGGGTCCCAGGATGAGGGAAGAGATGAGAATCTTGACTCCATGTTACAGAAGACTGATTTATTATATTAAAATGCTATACTAAAACTACACTAAAAACCAGAAAGGATCCATCAGAAAGCTAGAAAGAAAAGCAAAGGAATGAGTAACAAAATCTTGTGACAGCTCACAGCCTCGACACAGGTGGCTGTCATTGGTCATCAAGCAAAAACAAGTTCACATGCTGGGTAAACAACTCTCCAAATCACATTCCAAAGCAGAAAAACATGGAGAGGCTGAAGCTTCCCAGCTTCTCAGGAGGAAAGATCCTGGCAAAAGGATTTTTTATGAAAAAAGTTTTTGACATTACCCCAGCAACACTGGGGCACCATGCAAGGATTCCTTCACTCTTCCTGGCAGCAGGGTCCCCATCTGCCCACCCCTCAGCTCTGGGAGCTCCAGGTGATGCTCCTCTCCACCAGCAGAGATGGAGATGCTCAATGAGGCCTCTAATGTCACCCACAGTGTCACTGGCACCTCCTGCAGCTCTGCCAGGCACGATGCCTGGCAGAACCCACACTCACCCTCTGAAACCCCCCACATTTATCCACCCATTCCATAGTTTTGTTTTCAGAAGCGCACATTTCTGCCTGGTGCTCACACTGCACAGCTCCAGTGGATACCTGAACATCATAAAAGCAATTTCACAAGCTGCAAAAAGCCAATAGTAGCAATGATGTGTTCTAAGAGCTCAGGAATTAGAGTCCAGAGGAGATGAAAGCAATAAATAATGAATGAAAGCTTGTCAAAGCTTCTGCAAGGCATCCTGAAACACACTGAGCCCCACCCTGGCTCATCCCTCACACTTCATCTGCCACCCTACACACACACAGGAGCTGTGCTCTCCCAAGCCTGAACCTCCACTGCTGCTGGGATCTCTCCAGTCCTTGCCAGGCAGTTTTCCTTCCTGCATCACAGGTGAACACACACCAAATCAATTTTTAGCTTTTTTCCCTTTTATTTCCCCCCACCTCAAGGTATAAATTGTTAAAGAAAAAAATCTCATGTTCATCTGCCTTCCTGCAGCAGGCCCTGCAAGGGAGTCTCAGGAAAAGAAATATCACATTCCACTCCTGTAATCTGCAAACTCATTTGTAAAAACCCAGAGAGCACACTCTGAGCCACAGCTCCACCTGCCCATTTCCATTCAGGACAGATCCTTTGGCAATGAAATGAAAAGACAGCTTTCCTGAAACATGTAATATCCCTACTTTGTTATCAGATGATCCAGTCTTGGCCTCTCTGCCTAAAATATTCCTCCTCAGCTGCTTTATCCCCACTATCTCTTTTTGCTGTGTGCTCAGCATGGCATCAGGAGCCCCAGAACTCAGGGGCTGGGGGGCTTTGACTCAGGATTTTCCTGCTCCAGGAATTTCTTCCCCTGGCACAGGATTTCCCACTGTGTCTTTGCAACCACCTGAGCAGGAAGAGCCCAACTGTCCCCAAATCCTACCCCAAATCCCAGCCCCTTGATCATCTCTCAACTCATTCAGCAAGGCTGGGTCAGGAGTTTCACCTTTTGTATAAACTCTGGTTGGAAGCACAAGGAGAAGTTCAAGGTGCAGCTTATCAAACACATTCAGGGCAGTCTCTGTAGTTTGCCATGATGAAAAAGATCCACTAACTTCTGTACCCAGCCTCCTCTGGATAACAAAATCTACCAGTCCTGTAATTCAGAGCTTTTGCTCTGTGATATCAGCACCTCAATGGGCACAGACCCCTTTCCCCACTGCATGGAACCAATGCTACCAAAAGCAGATTTAAAGGCACACAAGAAAAGGTCTAAGGGATAAAAGGTGGAGATTCCAGTCCCCCTCACTACTATTTTTTTTTTTAAATATGTACTAGGGATTAAGATCCTATATTAAAGTTCCTGAACAGCCTCAGATATAACTAAATACATTAAAATAAGGATCTACACTGTCAGCAGCATCTTAAATATGTCTTAAAAACACCTTAACTTTAAGGTTACAGAAGTTAAAAAGCCAAATACCAATGAACCCAAATTAAGTTCTCTTTTTAAAATAAAAGTGAGGGTTTTGAGGCAATTAAAGCTTGGACTCAATGATCTTGGATGTCTCTTCCAACTTAAAAAATTCTAGAATTCAATAAATTTACTTGCTCAAAGAAAGTTTTTTACACAGTCAACAGTCCTTCAGCAGAAGTACCAAGAAGTAACCTTGACTGAAGCAAAGCCAGCTTTTAAGCACAAATAGACAAATACTCCACTGCCTTATTGTGGCTGAGGATGCAAAACTGGAGATCTGGAAAGCACAAACCTTCACTATGACAGTCTGGTCAGAGTTGCTGCTCATCATCTCGTTGATGGACTTGAAGAGCTGCAGCAGAGACTCCCTGAAGTCTGCTTCTCCTTTGTTTTCATACAGCCTGAAAAACAATTAGGTTTCATCAGCACAAACCACAATGGAAATACTGCTTTAAAAAGTCTGGTGGCTTTTTTAACAATCAGATGACAAACAGCCACTTTTTGTCTTACATTTTCTCCAGAATTTTTACAACTTCCTTCACTGAATCAAGAGCTTTCTTGCACAAAAAAAACCAAACAACAAACAAGCAAAAAAACAAACCACTGAAGACAAGACAGACTGGCCAGGCTGGGCCAGCAGGAAGAAGAGATTTTTATTGTGAAATGCCACATGCAGCAGTGCTGCTCCAGTCCCTGGTGAGTCCCTGAGCAGTGCCCCAGTTCCCCGTGCCTGGGACAGCCTCTCCACCCTACAGATGTCTGCCAGGACCCTTGTGCTGATGAAGCCAGAAAGCAGCCAGCAAACTTGCCAGCAATCATTAAAATCTACCAGTGGCCCAAGGTGAGTGACCTTAAACTCTGGGCAAGAAAGAAAGAAAGGCAAGAAAGACCCCATCGACCCTCTTTTTGCCAAGACAACACAATTTTTCCTGTGGGAAGGGAGCACTGAGGTTAAATCATGTTTCAGCACTAATTTCAGGCTCAGTTTGCCATGGAGCCAGCACGGCTGACACAGAGCAGTGACTCAGCCCCAGCTCAGATGCAGGAGCCAGGTCCCTGTGCCTCCAGGCAGACTCCTCACAGCTGAGCTGACCCCCTGGGATGCCCCTCCCCCTCTCTCAGATGCTTTCAGGGGCGTAAAAAACTGCATAGAAGCACCTGAGCAAAACCAGAGGCCAGAAAAACACAGCCAAGGTGAAGAACTTGGGCCACTGGTACAAGGAGTGCTGCTGGAATTCTCTGCAGTGGTTTCAATGCAGAACCTGCCCTGCTCCAGGTGCAGGATGGCACAATCCTCACTGGAAAACGAGGGGGACACCACCACTGGCTCCACATCATCCTTGAAAACTTCCCCTCCTATGGCAGCACGTGGGGCTCACCCGCAGCAGGGTCAGCCAGGCTTCACATGACCAAAAAAAGAGACCTGGAACCCAGATTAAATCTGAATAGGGGGAGTTTAAACCATCCCACGGGACTGCCAGGCCAGGCTGGACAGGGCTTTGGGCACCCTGGACAGTGGGAGGTGTCCCTGCCATGGCAGGGGTGGGATGGGATGAGTTCAAGGTGCCTTCTCACCCAAACCATCCCATGACCCCTTCCCCCAGTTAAACCCACCTTTACCCAGTCAGCTCTGATGGATCAAGAGCCTCATCCCACAAAATCTGGGCTTCCAAAGCCCTTCCTGGTCCCACTGGCTCTGCTCCCCCCAAACATCTGGCACCAAGACACACTGGAGCAGCTCCAGCACGAGCTCAACTCCCTTTTGCTTTCCACAGTTTTCTCCTGGAGTTAAACCCAGCAGGAAGGTCTTGAATGTAGTCTGCAGCTCAGAAAGGGAATTTCATCCAGAAATTTCCTAGGTACAATCCTTGGACAATTTATTCATGTTCCAAGATCACAGAATCATGAAATGGTTTTGGTGGGAAGGGATTTTAAATCCCATCAAGTCCCACTCCTGCCATGGCAGGGACACATTCACCTGTCCCAGGTGCTCCAAACCCTGTCCAGCCTGGCCTTGGACATTCCCAGGGATCCAGGGGCAGCCCCAGCTGCTCTGGGCACCCTGTGCCAGGACTGCCCACCCTCACAGCCAGGAATTCCTTCCCAATATCCCATCTAAAGCTACATCATTATGGATCACATATTGCAGCTGGAAATGGGTTTTTCTTGGGACAAACATGGAGCTCGGGATGTTCCTGCTGCTTTACACTGAAGTTACATGTTAACATTTTTAATGTTGTGCTCATAAACCTTTGGAAGTCCCAGATATGAAAAAGTTGATTTCAACCTGGACAGAGAGGAAATAAATACAGAAAAAAAAAAAAATAGAAACCAGTAAATTGTGTTATTTTGCTCTGCACACTTCTATTCCCCTTTTAGGCTAAAATTGGGGGTTATGAAGGATAAAAAATTTGTTAAGTCCCCATTTCCATAATGGATTTCAGTGTCCCCCTGAACAGATTAGAGAGGTAAAACTTATACCAACAGAAAGAGTAACTGAACTTGACAGCCCAATATATCAAAATGCTTCAGACAAAAAACTCTGCCTTTCAAAAGGAAGTTATAATAAAAATAAAGTTAGTCACAAATGTGTTCCTACTGTCAGTTAATAACATCTATTTATTTAATATACCTGATAAAGCACAAAATCTCTGCAGCTGTGAGAAATCAAGGTTTACACCAGGCTGGTGCTTCCAGCCCTGCCTGGAGGATTTTAAGACTGTGGATTTTAAGACACCACAAGCACTGGGATCATTACTGAGAAAATCAGAGATATTTCTAAAGGTCACTTGCAGTATTTTGCCTTTATCAACCTTTGCTGTAGTGAGCAAATAGATGTGCCACCATGCCTTAAGTGGATGAACTTCCATGGATTTATCCAGAACTCAACTGCTAAAATGCTCCATCCATCCAAGGAGCCCACCACCCTCTTCCTGAAGTTCAAAATAAGCCATATTTTGGAATAAAAGCTTCAGCTTGCTGCTTGTGATTCCTCAGTGGAGCAGCAGCAATCCTGCATTTTAATCACTCCCAATCACACCCCCCAGGCAGGGCTTCAGTCCTGCAGCAGAACAAATCAGGCTCCCTCTGCACTCAGGAATTTTGCTGATTAATCCCTTGGCATGGAGGGTTGGTCTCACACTGAAGGGCTCTGAATTTGTGCTTCCCACAAGGAAATCCCACAGCCAGTCCTGGAGGGTCAGACTGTCTGTAAATCCAATCTGCAGCCAGAGGGAATTTTATTTTTTCTGTTTTCAAGTGATTTGTAGGCCCTGCTACAGCCTCAGTGACATCCTGTATTTTATGAATCTCACAGCAAGGCTCCTACAGAAATAAATTCCAAGCCCTAAATTAGAGGAAAGGGTGGTGGAGATGGTAACTGAAGAGCTCTACATAAATCCCTTGCAATAAGGTTGTTCCCACTGCTAACAAGCAGTAAAAGGACTCAATCTAAGTGAAGATCCCATCAGCTTGGTTTATAACTTCTGTAACATCCTGTGTATAAAACACAATACAGCAACAGAAGTCTCCCCAAACAGTGCCAAGCTTTAATTGTCCAGAGACCTAAACTGTGATGATTTTACCAATTCCCTGCTCCTGAAAATACAGATCTCTGCTAAAGAGGGAAAACCTCTCTCCTGAAATAACTTCTCACAGCTTCAAGTATTTCCAAAACAGAGCACTACTAAGCAGTTTTAACTGCTGGACTGTAAAACGTTGGCAGTTTTGGGGCATTATTGGCAATGGGAGGTGCAAGCACTGCCTGTACTCACTGGTTGAACAATATCCTGGAGCGCACAATGAACTTGAAGATGTATTCCAGGGCCTTCATGGCTTTGAAGAGCTGATCAGTGATCCCACACTTCTCAGCATTGTCCACGTATGTTTTCAATACCTTGGTCAGTTTTCTGTTGAAATACAAAAAAAAACCCACAAGCAAGTCACAAGTGTTCTCACAGAATTTCCATTTGGAAAGGTTTAATGAAAAATTATGTGCACACAGAGCTACAAAGTTAATTCTTCAACTAATAAACTCATTGTGGTTTTGTTTTGCTGATAAGTAGCTGGCACTTATTTTTGAGCAAAAAAAAAAAAAGAGAAAAACCACAGACCATAACCTCATTTAACACACAAATCTCACAACTTTAACACACAATACAACAAATCTCAGTAAGGCTGATTTTCTGCTGGATGTTCAGATGGATATTCAGATTCAGGCCCTCAGAAAGATGCACCTACTAATAATAATCAGAATAATAAAAATAATTAAATTAAATACAAGCATGCTGTTAGAATTATATCTCAGTAAGGCTGATTTTCTGCTGGATGTTCAGATGGATATTCAGATTCAGGCCCTCAGAAAGATGCACCTACTAATAATAATCAGAATAATAAAAATAATTAAATACAAGCATGCTGTTAGAATTAACACAAAGTATAAGTTTCTTCATTCAGCAAGGCTTCCCCTTTAGAAAGCTTTATCACAGATTTTGGGCTGAAATTAGTAAAATTTATTTCTCAAAGTACACACCAACAGCTGGAAATTCTCTTCTTCCCCATTTTAAAGCCTATCAAACTCGAAAGTGAAACAATTTTCAAAATAATCCCATTCCAGCTCCCTCCCTTCCAATGAATATAAATCAGGGCTTTAATGCAACCACGAGCAATTCCATTTTAAATCATCCCAGCTCCAGTGCATGATCCAACATCCCCACTCCAAGTAAACAAGCTCCACATTATTCCCCACTAACAGCAAACAACACGGAGATCCTGCTGCCTGGGGATTTGTTGGAGCAGGAGCAAACTGCCTGAGAATTTCAAGCAAGCACTTAAAACACTGCCAAGGCCACCTCTCTTTACTTCAGGGCTGAAGGTTGGGCTGGATGATCTTGGAGCTCTTTTCCACGCCGGATGTTCCATGAATAAAAGGCAGGGATGGGGCAGGGATCTGTCACATCCATGGGGACACCACAAACCAGAATTCAGCTCTCCCTGGACTTGAGGAAGGGAAGGATGCTCTCCATGCCATGAGAGGACCACCCCCAGCTCTTCCTGAGAAGTCCAGGTGATGCAGGATGCTCCACATGAGTGATCAGTAACCAAAATATCAGCTTTGAGACTGCAGGCTCAAAGCTTCTTTGGGAATTAAAGAAGGACCAGGGAAAGGTTCATCCCAAGAGGGTGCTGGCACTGCCCAGGCTCCCCAGGGAATGGGCACAGCCAGAGCTCCAGGAGGGTTTGGAAAACACTCCCAGGGATGCACAGAGTGGGATTTTGGGGTGTCTGTGCCAGGAGCTGGACTGATGATCCCTTCCAGCTCAGGATATTCTATGATTTCCTGATTTTTCACGATTTTAAATCAGTATTTTCAAACCTTTTCAGGTCCCTTAACAGATACTCTGCACCAGCAAAGGGCACCCCAGGTGTCCTGGTTTGGGTTTGCCTTTCCCCCAGCACTGCAGATATCCATCAGATATTTTTCCTCCAGTCTAACACAGCAGCAAAGATTCCAACTGTCAAAAACTACTTAAGACAACAAAAATAACGAGCCTTTGTTTTTTTGTCTTTCACTGCTTCTTCCCCACACTGACAGTAATGTGGATAATCAGGGTACAGTGTCATTTAATGCACAAAAAAACCCAGTATTTGAAGCATCTTAAATGGACATGATTCCCTCCCAATATGAGAGAGAATTGCTTTTGTTTTCCTTGAAAAACAGCTCCTGAAATTGTCAAATCATCCCCTTCTTCACTACAGCACTATCAGAACTTCTCCTTGCACACCACTGAAAGTTGTACCAATCTATTTCAATAAAGAAACAAAGACTAACCCCAGTCTTCTTCCAGACCCTCCCAAGCACCCTTCCAAGTTCATGGGCACATTCCTAATTAAGCTACATAAGTAGTTAAATAACATTACCTGGAAAAATTCTCCAAGTCACATTAGGAAAAATAAATTTTCCAACTCACGTGTAGGCCAAGGTAGCACTGAAATGCTTCTTGATGTAGGTCTCCAAGACAGGGTTGAAATGTTGAAATTTTCTGTCAGCAATCAGCCCAATGATAAATACCTGAAAAAACCCCAGTATAATTAGTTTGTTAGTCTCAAAAAAATATTTCACTTTTGTCCATTCCCCTTTCTTCTTAGAGAAGAGACATTGCTGGCATTAAAATTTCTGTTCTGCTCCTGTCCTAAATTGTGCTGTTAATCCATTAAAATGACTGGATGTAAGTGCTTCCTTATTTCCTGGGAGGATGACATGATATAACCCAACTCCCTCTGGATCTGAACCTTTAAATGTAATTTTTAAATTAAATAACTGTCAGCTCAGATCTTTTCCATTAATAAACTTCATTCTGTCATTAATTCCCCATTATTAGGTACATTTCAAGCCCTCCCCACTGCAGACTCACCAAAGCATCAAACACCAAAGTGTCAAAGGTTTCACTCTCCGAGTTCTCCATCATGATGTTAAAAAGGGCATCCAGTGTATCTTGAAGGAACTGCAAAGAAACAACACAGCTCTCATCATGCTTTCAAAGGAAAATTAAATTGAGATTTCACACAGGTTTCTACAAGTAAAGGCATCTTAAAAGGTAGCAAAAAAACTGAAAAATCCAACACTTTCCTTTGCAGCAACTTATTTTTAGTGAAGTTGATTATCTATGCACAGATTATCACTCCAACAGAAAAAACAAAGTCAGAAGTCACACTTGGCACACCTGGACAATGAATCTGTGACAATGCTCCAACAAAAGGATTTCCAAACTGCAGATTCAGCACACGCTCGCCAGGCCCATGCATTGCTGGAAACTCAGGTGTTCCAGAGCACAAACCACACAAGCACCTGAGTCTCATGCCAGGGACGTGGGAGCTGAGCCATGGAAGGCACCCAGAACATCCCTGCTCAGGGCTGCAGCACAGCCCCCCAGTCCCAGGGGGATCCCACATGCAGGCATGGGAACAGAGCCCCCCAGTGCTGCCCCAGCCCCAAACCTGCACAGCAAGGTCTTCACTCCCCCTGCCCGGGCACCCCCATCTGTGCAACACCAGAGAAAAAGCAGATTAGTGCCAGGGGCTTCCAGTAAAGCACAAGGACAAAAGGTCCCTAATTGCAGGAGTTCTTCCCAGAGGCAGGAATCCATGCAGTGCCAGAGATACTCATCAGTTCTGCTGGGATGGGCTTGTGCCTGAGCAGCTCCTTCCTCCAGCTGGCACAGACACACAGGGGCTCCTCCAGGGCACAGCCAGGCTGCAGCACAGCTCAGGTTGGGTTGAGAAAGAAGGGGTTAAATGTGGATGGTCCCAGCACACCTGTCTCAAATTATCCCAGGATGGTTTGGGTTGGAAGGGACCAAAGATCCCATCCAGTGCCACCCAGGGACATCTTCCAGTGTCCCAGGCTGCTCCAGCCTGGCCTTGGGCACTGCCAGGGATCCAGGGGCAGCCACGGCTGCTCTGGGCACCCTGTGCCAGGGCTGCCCACCCTGCCAGGGAAGTAAAATGGAAAAAAAAAAAGCTTTTGCCTTGTAGATGACACAGAATCTCAACAAGCAGAAGGGACTTGATCCTGGGGTTCCAGCTACAAGAGGCATTCCACATCCTGTGAGAGGGATGGAAAACCAGCCTGACTCCCACCTTCCTCCTTTAAAAATGTTCAGTGAGTCTCCTGAATCAAGCCTTATTCACCTGATCTCTTAAACCTACAGTCAAATGTCAGGAGGCAACCCCATTCACAGCTGAATGTCAAACTCCTTAAACCAAGCACACAGAGTCACAGTTCATGCTGCTGAGGATGAAAAAACAGAAAAAACCCAATTCTTGCAGCTGGTCTTAGCCCAGTCCTGGGGAAGAGCCAGCTCATAATTTCACCACGGGGGCAAAAGGAAAGCATCACCTTCTCACAGCCTTACTCATTCCATTAAAGAAGATGTGCAAATAAAGCACATTAAAGGCTGGACTTGATGTTCTAAAGGTTGAACTCCATGATCTCAGAGGTCTTTTCCAACCTAAATGGTTCTGTAATTCGAAATGATTCTGTGGCTGCTGCCAGCTGGCAGGGAGGGAAGTGCAAAGCACAGTTTGGAGCCTTGACAGGAGAAGTTTCTCTCTTGGTCTGAAGAGAAGTTGCACTCTTGGGTCCCCCACACTGAGTTCCCTGGAAGCCAAAGGATGGTTGGGAGGTTGATCAAGCCTTGATTTCACATCCAGGCAGCTCAGCCTGACTTTCACGAGCAGAGCTCAAGTCTGAAATCAGTTCACCAGTAGCAGCAGGAAGAGCACAGCAGAGATGCTGCTGCTGAGTGAAAGGGGCAGGACATTTCTCAGGTGGCATGAATAATTCCCACACTATTAGTTTACATTCTCATACTGCACAGACTCTGCACAAATGGAGCCAGAGCCTCTGGGGAAGGGAGATAACATTTACAGCTTCCACACACTCTGGGAACAGGCACAGGATGGGGAGCTGGGCTCATCTCCACTCAAATAAATGAACACCAGTAGGCCCAGGACCTTTACTGGGAGTTTTAAAAACAGGTTTAACAGAAAATAGGAATGTGTTTTATCACATCAATACTTTCTCTAAAGATATCCAGGCTGCACTGGGTATTGTAGTTAAAAACATGAGGGGCAAAGAAAGCTGGAGGAACAGAAAGGAACAGTTACAAACCAGATCCTGCAATGGAGCAGCCCCACAAAGATGGAACAGTGCTCCAACAGATGGAGAATGTAAGCACTGACCCTCTAAAAAAAGGATAAAAATGGTGGTGAAAGCAATATTAAATACTCCCTCTTCTGCCCCCTGCATGATTCCAGTTGTGCTCAGATCCCTGGGAGCAGGAGAAGGGAATCCCATTGGTCCCGAGAGTGTGCCAGGTGCAGAACCCACTCCAAAACTGCTTTTACCTCAACCCCATTAGTGGTGCATCCTGAGGAAATCCCTGATCCCACCCAGCAAGAACGTGCCATGCACTCTGGGATGTCACATTTGGAGAGGAGGGAGAATTCCAAGTGGCAGAGCCATGGCAGAGCTCAGCAGGAGCCAGTTCCAGAGGCAAGATTCTGCTCTCAAATGACCCAGGACAAAACCACAGCAAGCAGAACCTTCCTAAGACACAAACCTGTGGGACCCCACCTTCCCCACCCTCCAAGGAGGGCAAAATCAGCCTTCCCAGGTGTTTTAAGTTACTTCAAGCTGAAGCTTCATTATGCTTTTATTAAACAACTAAAAAATCCCCTGAAGTAAGGAAACAACTCTCCAGGGTCACCTGTCCCCAAGTACATCTTTTGACACTCCTTTAGATTTGATTTATTACAACACCTTCAATAAAGTCCCAGCCTCCTCTTTTGCACAGCTGAATCTGTCTTTATGTAGCTCTCTGCAATCACTCAGTGGCCTTGGCAAATGTAAATAACTTGGCTCAGCTAAATGTTTCCAGAAGTCTTTTTTAAAAGAAAAACAACAGCAGCACACACTAGGATTGCCTTCCACATCCACAGATCAAAAATACATTTAGCATCACCATGTAAGACTTCCAAGATGGTCTAATCTTGCAAAGAAAAACACTTTTTTTTCATGTATCTGTATATAAAAATTCACCAAAGTGCTAGAAAAAAACAACCTAATTTTCAGAAATGTGCATTTGATGTGTGTTTTATCAGTTCTCAAACATCTGAAATGTTCCTGGAGGGCAGGGAGAGGAGCATCAGCACTCTGAAGTCTGAGGTTGCAGGTTGCAATTTAATGTGTAAATGAGTGCAGTGAGGTTGAGGGGGAAAGTGTGGGGAACAAAAAAAAAAAAAAGACACCTCAAAGACACCTCAAAATCTGGGATTTTTATAGACAAACTCATTACCTTGACCACTTCACCACCATCAACTTTCATCAGCTGCTTCAAGTTTTGGTGCAACAGGCTCGTGTTGGATCTCCACTTCAGCAGTCCCAAGAGATCAACTAGGAATAAAAAAAACCCAACAATTATCTCCTGTAGGCTCTTTCCCTTTCCTCACTCTCCACCACCACATGCAGGACAAAGTTTTATTTCCTCACTTCAGCCTTTTCCCCTGGACAACAAGGTATTTCTGGTACCCTCTGACACTGCAGAAAGCTGGGACAATCCTTCTGCCCCAACAGAACTCTGAAAGGCTTTCAGAAAAGCAGCCAGCTTTTGAAATATCAGCAGGAAAATCTAGGCCAAGGAAGCCTGCTCCCTGGGTTTTTGATTTGCCGTACACAACAGTTGTGTATTTAGAAAAAAAATGCCAGAATGAAATTAGTCAGCCACCAACACAGTCATATCTACAGGGCAGTGACTCTCCCAGCATTAATGGCTCCAGCTTCTCTGCTCTCGCTGCATAAACTGAAGAGAAAATAAAGCACAATGAAGCACAAAGAGCTGCAAACTCACTGAGGGTGGGGGAGAGCTGGGTGATGAATACCTGCCAGTGCCCACGCTGCACAGCCCAGATGATGCCAGGGGTCCCATCCCCAAACCCTGCAGCCTGAAGATGGAGTCACTCCAGCACTCCTGATCAATCAGGGAATGCAGGAGGCCAGCTCTCTCCATCTGTCATGGCAAAGATTCCTTCAGGGAACACTCCTGGGGAGGAGCTCCCAGTGGGGTCCCCCTGCAGAGCAGCAGCTCCCTGGGAAATACCAGCCCCAGACCCCAAACTCCTCCTGCCTCTGCCAGAGCAGCCTCAGGGGAAAGCTCTAACCCAGGAAAAACCAGTTTTCAGCATAAAACAGAACTCCCAGCAACTCCTGCTCAGGAGAAGCTTCAATAACAAACTGAGCATGATGATCTCAAAGGTCTTCTCCAACCTCAATGATTTCATGGCTAATTTAAAGACTCACTACCTTCAGTTCAGCCCCTGGCCCACCTCCCCATGTAATTCATATTGTGTGAATTCTGCCCAAAATCACTCAAAGCAGGCACTTCCAACAAATACCCCCTCACCTCTTTGTTATTCAGGCTTTCAAAGCAACCAACACAGCATTTACCAAGGCATGAATCTGCAGAGTTTATTCTGGAAATTATCTGCTGAGACTGAAAGCAGCTGCTTGGCTTTTCTCAAAAACCTTTCATTTTAAGTAATAAATGAAATTACTTCTAGTGGAAAGCACTACAGTGCTCCTTGGAAAGAGTCCCCTCTGAGCAGCACTCAAACCAAGCCTTCTCATCATCTCTTTGTGAGGAGAAATCAAGAGAGTTTTACTACATTAAAGCTTTGAAAGAGTTGAATCCAAGTCCTCCATTCTTTTTAATACATCCTACAAGAAGTCTATAGCCTGAACCCAAAGTCTTAGAAACTCAGTATTAATAAAAAAAAAAAAAAAATTGCTTCTGGAAGCAAAGCAAAGATGCCTCCATGAGTTATCCAAAGTGTTTCATGGATATATTTATATCAGCTTTCCACCCCTGAATTTGGCTGCAGTCTGACTTCTAACAAGGCATCAGCTTGACAGAAGAAATGATGTGAACAAAAGCCAGCCCACAGACGAGCTCTGAACAGCATCATGGATTGCCCCAAGAAAACAAACCCACGTGGACTGGCAGCGTGATGGCACAGCAAATGCTAAATGAATATACATTTGTGAGCACAAAATGTCAGTGCAGGCCAGCTGAAAGGGAAAAATAACTCACAGGGTATGGAAAAACAGGCACTGGCTTGTAATGCAAGCATTAATTAAGCCCAGCAAAGCAGCAGTCAGGCACTAATCCCACTCTTTTCACAGGGGGCTGTGTGTAAAATAATGCAGAAAAGGGATGTAAAACAGTATTTTAGCCTACAGAAAACAGGAATGATGGAGTAAGCCTAGGTCAATGAAATTTGAGGTTAGAAACATCAGGAGGAAGAGAGAATGAGGTTGCCCAGAGCAGCTGTGGCTGCCCCTGGATCCCTGGCAGTGCCCAAGGCCAGGCTGGACACTGGGGCTGGAGCACCTGGGACAGGGGAAGGTGTCCCTGCCATGGCAGGGGTGGCACTGGATGACCATTAAGGTCACTTCCAACCCAAACCTGTCTGGGATTCTGTGATTTCCCACTGCAAAAGGTTTAAACAAACACCCAGACTGCAAAGTCCCCAGCAGCAACTTGGCTTTATTAATGTGATTTATCATTCTGTGGACTGCACATGAACAATGTTCTTTTACAGGGTATTTAACAAGTGGAAGGAACCACCCCAAGTTCCTGCCTATCTGCTTTCCTTAAAGATTCCTGGATCTATGCAAAAGCTTCCCCTATAGAAACACCCAAACTTTTCCCAAAGCCCAGCCACGGAATTCAGTCAGATAACATTTCCCCTCTAACTAAATTCCCATCTGTTCTTTGAAATTCTCTGCCTTCTTGACTTGAACATTTGATTTTCCAGTCTGTGTCATTTTAATTTTAATTCTTTGCTTACATTTTCACTTTTTATGCCACTATAGCACTTCAATTTGTCCTGTGTGTGTGTTGGAGTTTTTTTTAATTATCAACTGTGCTAGGCCAAATCCCTCCCAAGAGCTCTTCAAACTCCTGGTCTCCCCAATTCCTCCAAGTCCTGACTCCAGTGAAGGAACAGCCACTGCTATCCAGAAATTCCAGTCCTTCAGGCAGAAGAGAGAACAGAAATTCTTGGAATAAGCTTTTGAGGTGCCCTGGATGCTTCCAACAGCAAATCCACAGGGACAGCACAGCCAGCTCTGCCCACTGATAACTGAACATTTTCCCAGCAAGCCATTAATGAATTTTCAGTTCTGTTCCCATGACCCTGATAAATAAAAGGACATCCTGGAAGTCTGGGAAGAGGCACCAGGAGCATTTACTTCCACAGGCACTGAGAGTTTCTTCTCCTCCTCTTTGTCTTATGTCATCACTCTTCCTCAAAATGAACTGCAAAATCCAGGAGAAGGCCAGGGAATGTCCTGCTTTAATAAATTCTGCTCCAATCACTAAAAACTGGTCAAGTGTTAAACTGAGTAGACACCTCACACCATCACTCTCTCTCAAAGTCTCAGCAGTGGCCAAGTTGCTTATTTTGAAGCCTTTTCCATGCTAAGGACATCGATTACTGATGGAAAAGCAACATTAAAAACTCACAGTTCACAGAGAATGGAAGGCAAGGGAGTGTTCAAAGAGCTCAGGCACAAAAAAGTCTCTGCACCAAACCACACAGAAAAAGGCAGATGACTTATTCACATACTTTCAGAATTACTAAAAATAGGTCTTAAGGCCAGTTCTAAGATAGTTATGGAGGGTGAAGAAAGAACTATTACAGGTAAACAAAAGGAGAAAAATCTCCTTTGGCCCAACACTTTTGTGAGGATAATACTGGATTTTTATTTTCTTGTTTTTAAGAAAGTTAAAGGAAGAATATTAACCAAGCATTTCACAAAACTTCAAATCAGCTTCAGAAATCACCATCTGAAAATCACTGCCAACTTTTAGATGAAAACTGATACTTGAAGCAGGAATTTAATGATGATTTTTTTGTTTGTTTCTTTTCTGCTCAATGAGACATGGTGATCTTGCTTAATAATGTCACAGTACTTTGAAGAGAGAGAAAAGACTCTGGCAACTCCAAGGAAAAGTTTCCCAGACAACATAATTAACAGCAGCATTAAATAAAGATCAAGCCTTCAAAGCAAACAATATGTAAATCAAGCACCAAACAATGCTCAGGCTTATTTTAATAGCAGTTCTGTGAAAGCCACATCAATATATTGATCACTGGGAAATACTTTTAACTACTAACGAGCACTAGGGAAGGCTGAAGGGAAAAACAGCACTGATTTTCCAACCAAAAGCAGTTCAGTTCCAGATGTTGCATCCTGCTCTCCAAGCCCCAGCCCCACCGTGCTGCTGCTGAGCTCTGAGCCCATCCTTGCTGGGAAATCCTACAAGCACATCCCAGTTTTTCAGCTGAACACCCTGCCAGGCTCCGAGGCTGCCAGACTGCAGTGGATCTGATGTGCTCTGCATGAGAAACACCCGGGATGAGCTGGGGGATGCCAAGGAAAACACAGCAGCCAAGCTGGACCCACAGGGAGCAGGGACATCCCCGTGGACACAGGGGACTCTGCATGTGGCAGTGTCATCCTGGTCCCCACCCAGCTCCCCACAGCCCTTCCTGAGTCACAGCAGTGACTCAGTCCCCATGGAATGACCCTCCCACACTCCCCACTCAGTGCTGGTGCAGCCAGGAGAACAAGGGATCGCTCCATGGCAACCGAGCCCGGAATCACACGGAGGGCACGGGCTGAAAAAGGCAAAGATTCCCTTTGGTGGCTGCCACCAGCTTCCCACAGCCTCGGGATGCACTCAGCCAGCTGACAAACAGGACAAATGCACGGAATGCACGGTGGGAAAGGAACACACGAAGCCAAGGCCACTCCTGGGAAGGTGTGGGAACGTGAGGGTGACCTCCAGGTAACACAGCCTCCCCAACTCCCCTTCTGCACTCAGGAGAGAACATCAGAGCTGCCCTCAGCCCTGAGACATGGATATTGCACCTTGGAATAACAAACCAGCACGTTTGGGAGCAGAGCCCTGGTATTACCTACTCTTGGGAGCAAACTCACCCCCTTAGTGCTATTTTTCAAAGAAAAGTGAAATGCCACAGAGCCTGTTTAGTGCATTTCAGGGGAAGAGCCTCAACTATGTGGGAAACAACATCCCTGGTTCCACTTCACTTGGATTCTTCTGTTTTTTTCAGAGACATCAACTGCTCTGGAGCAAAAGAAAAAAGCTTGGATGGTTCACACACTCACCCACACAATCCAATCCAGCAAACAGCCACACGGAATGGGGATGGAGGAGGCAGCGGAGTCAGCACACAGATCCCAGCCTGCTGCAGCTCCAGCAGCTCTGGGCACTCACCGTTCTGGGTAAGTTTTGTTGAGCAGACCAGGGTGGAAATCTGGAAGGAGTCTTTGCTGATGGTGCAGCTCCCAAGGTTCTGCATGCTCTTGCCTGTTGCTGAGTGTCCCTTCTCCTCCAGCTCAATTTTTGTGGATGGCAGACTGAGATAGGTGGAGGCATCCTCCAGCTTCTTGGCCTCTGCCTACAGGGATGTTTGAAACACAGCAGGAGAAAATATCCCATCAAAACCTCGGCAATAAGAAAATTTTAACCTTTATACTGGATTTTCTTAGGTTTGGAGCTACCAAATGCATCTTTAGCAGTATTAATTTAGCACTAATCTGGCTACATTAGAGCCAAAATGGGATTATTTAAAAGGCCACAGAATTCACTCTTCCCAACCCACAAAAAACTCAACAACAGATCCTGCTGAAATTACAACATATTAAAGGTTTGACACTCAATCTCCCATATAAACCAACTGCTCAGGACTTGCTGCTTAGTTTGATTTAACAGCAGAGTTCAAAACACATTTTCCAGTGTAAGTCTGGAACAGAATTCCCCAGAAGTCAGTCAGTGGAGCTTCCCTGCTGGGAAGTTTAATTCTACCTTGTAAACTATAAGGTCATGCTCTCCATCCCTTAGAGTTGTCCCATCATATCTCATGAGCTTCACAAATGCCAGAGCAAATATTTTCTCAGATTTGTCTTTGGCTGTTAAAAAAAATAAAATAAAATATCACCACATAATTATTTCTACAGTCAGGACACCTAAATCTCACAAACATGGACAACCTGACAGTGAGTGACCACTGCAAAGATTCTCATGTAAATTAAGTGCACAAAAAAACTGGGGAAGTTTTCTAAAGGCAAGACAGAACAAAAAAAAAAAAAAGCAAATGAATACATCAACAGTAACCAGATGCTTCTTATTTCCATATTCTGTCTGTTCTTTTTGGAAAGCTTTATAAAGGCAAATTTTAAAAACAAAACAGAAATGTGATGCATTGAGAAAGCCCAGGTTTTTATAAGAATGGCAGTGTTTGGGAGCTGGAATAAAGATTAAACACCAGCACTGAGGATCTCATCAGAGCACAGAGCCCTGAGGACAGACATTTGGAGGGGGAACATTAGAAGCAAAACAAAAACTGGATCCATAAATGCAGATGAAGTGCCTCAGCTTTTTGAAAGCTGACCCATTCTGCAGCCAACAGGAACTAAAAAATGCATCCAGCTTCTTCTTGGTCCAATATGCTGGCAAAAGTTTAAAACAACAAAGCAACAGATGAAGGAGAGATCACAAAGGAAGCTGAGAAGTAAAGCCAGAAGGAAAGTGTCATCACCTTGAGAGAGCCCAAGGAGCCTGGGAGAAAGCCCTGAGAGGGGCCCTTGTTAATATTTAGGAGTGACCTCTTCTAAATATTTAGGCTGTGGCCAACCTAAATATTTGAGTCATCATAAGAACATTTCTGACTCTAATAATTTAGTAGCACACAGTCAAAATTCTGATAATAATGACAATGACTTTTAGAACATTGTTTTCCTTAAAAAGTATCATTGTCTAGATTATTTCATTAATTTTCTTAATCCCAAAGTCTTCAATTACTGATGCTAAGCCAACTGTAAACTTTCACATTCCCATTTGCTGAATATCTTTATTACTCCCTACCTCTAAGATACAGAATACCACAACTCCCTGAGTTAAAAGCCTTACACCATTAGTAAATGGAGTACATTTAGTAAATGTACTGGTAAAAAATTCCATTTATTCTCTTTGGGGAAAATAACTGGGCAAGGAAGGAAAAACTCAATGAGGGTAGGTAAGAGTGAGGAAGATGTAATGGGAAAAAGGAGCTGGATATGACAAACTGTCACAAATTTAATCCTGCACTAAAAGCAACACAGCAAGAATCAGGTCTGGACTGGGAGAGTGGGAATGGCATCCCTGCTCCAGGATTCCCAAGGATGATGCCTTGTGCAGGCTGCCCTAGAACAGAGGCTGGACAGAGCTACAGAATAAAGCAGGGATTTACTCAAAGGATCTCCTCCAGGGATCCCCCTTGGGCAGCACCAGAGCCCAGCCAGGGCTGCCCCCAGGATGAACCCAAATGGTCCCAAAATGCACGAGCGCTGCCGGGGTCTCTCCCTGGGCTCAGCTCTGCTCCATGTGCACATTGCAGTTCAGTGTCCAATCCCACTGCAGCCCCTGCAGTCCCACCCTGCTTGTTTTTCTCTCTGCAGCCCACGGGCTTTGTGCTCCTGGGCTGAGATTGGGATCATTTGTCCTTGGTGCCCAGCTGGAGCAGGAATTGTTTTGTCTCCCTGCTCTGTGCAGAGCTCACCATCCCCTGCTGTGAAGAGCCCACACACTAATGCAGCCCAGATTGTGGAAAATAGAAAAGCTAAAGCTGAGGCAGCAAGGAGAGGCTGAGTTACTCACAGTCCTGGGAGGATCTGTGGCGGAAGGTGAACCTCAGGTGGCTGCGGTTCACGTCCTCGATGGGGATCGCAACCTGGCACCAGGGACAGGAGAAGGAAATGGTCAGGGCAGCAGCTTCAGCCTCCCCCAACCCCATCCAGCACCATCCAGACATCTTCCAGCACTTCCAAATGACCAGTGAGTGACAATCCCAGCAGCACATCCATCCTCAGCAGCCCCTTTCTGTCTACAGGCACGACAAGGCACCTTTGGAGTGACAATTCCGGAGTAGCTGCAAGGCCCTTGTGAGCACGCAGACTCTGCTCACAGACAGACTGAAAGGATTTCGGATTTGCAATCTCCAAACGTGGCAGTGGAAAGGTTATTACCCCAGCAAAATGAGCAGGCTTAAAGCACAATCAGCTCCCCAAACAGTGAGGAATCCAACACTATGGCAAATGGGTTTTAGCCTTAATATCCTGCTCTCCTCTAGGTCAGCTTCATGGAAAGAGAGCAAACCATTCCTGAAGAGGTGCTGGAGTTTCCCCACACCAGTCATCCTGAGCAATGGCTGAAATAAAATTCAATATGCAATAAAAGTCAAAGCCTTTCTTGGCTGAGCTATTCCTTGCCCTGCTGAATACAGGCACTGAATTTTCCCACTTTTGTTTCCCACTGGAAGCTGTATTAATGGCACATTAACACCCAGAGAAGTTATTTTAACAGTTTAAATACCTTTACAGTCTCAAACCAGCGAGGCTGCTTTACTTGGTAATAGATCACTGACTTGTACTCCGAGATGGCTTCATCACCAGCACCAGGAAAAATAACACTCTGCAAAAACAAACAGAAGGGAAGTGTTTATGGCACTTAAACTCCACTTTTTCAGTCAAACAAACAAAAAATAAATCAGTGAAGTAGGTCAGAAGAAGAGAGAATGCTCCTCATTAAACTGGTATCAAAATGCATGCATTGATAAGGAAAGATGTATTTAATGATGACAAAAGTTTGGTTGAAAATAGAACCTGGGACCTTAAGCTGACAAATACAGCTGTTGAAAAGGCTTAACATGATATGTATCAAAATCAAAAAGCCCCCAGACATTAAATACTTTAATACCTCTAATCTCTTGCCATCTTCATCATAAACAGACACTGTGACTTCCACATTCTTTGCTGTGGTTTTACTGCCTTTGTCAAAATCTCCCTGCACCAAGGTGACGTAGATGTCATTTCGAACATCTCCTACGAGGGAGAGCAGAGCACAAAATAACCCACAATTCTCACAGTAAACTCAAGAATCTGGGAAACCAAGGACACACAGAAACAATGGCAGAACATTTCAAACACCACATTTCCATTTATTTTATTTTTAAACAACTTCTTTAGGTATTCACTTGAAAGGAGAAGTTTCAACACATTTATCCCATACAAAGGTGTTTTGCAATTTGAAATATTTTAACAGCCTACAAAAGGTCTCTAATTTGTTACAGCAGGAAGAGGTTTGATGTTTTTGCTGGCCTGGGGGTTGCAGGGGAGTGTTGTATTTAGATTTATGACTAAAAATGCTCCTCAGCTCCACCCCAATTCAACTGAAATTTTGATAATGAGCTGGGGAAACAAAGGATTTCCAATAATTTTATGAGGCAGCACAGGATGCAAACAAGGTGCTGAGGCACTCACACTTGTGAAGAGACTGTAAAACATCTGACAGACCTCTGTCAGCAGCCACAGGGAGACCTGGAACTGGGATGGGCTCTGGACACATCTCATGGATGCCCCAGAGCCCAGCAATCTGCAGAGGACACTGCAGGCTCTGCTCATGGCAGTTTTTATTTTGAGAAGTACCACGTTTCTGGGTTGGTTTTCATGGCTTTTGGCTTGCTTGGGGTTTTTTTGGTTTTTGTTTGGTTTTTGGGGGGTTTTTTGGTTTTTTTTGGGGGTTTTTTTTTTTTTTTTTTTGTTTTTTTTTTTGTTTGTTTGGTGGTGGGGGTTTTTTGTGGTTTTTTTGGTTGGTTTTTGGGGGGTTTTTTGGTTTTTTTTGGGGGTTTTTTTTTTTTTTTTTTTGTTTTTTTTTTTGTTTGTTTGGTGGTGGGGGTTTTTTGTGGTTTTTTTGGTTGGTTTTTGGGGGGTTTTTTGGACATCTCATGGATGCCCCAGAGCCCAGCAATCTGCAGAGGACACTGCAGGCTCTGCTCATGGCAGTTTTTATTTTGAGAAGTACCACGTTTCTGGGTTGGTTTTCATGGCTTTTGGCTTGCTTGGGGTTTTTTTGGTTTTTGTTTGGTTTTTGGGGGGTTTTTTTGTGTGTTTGGGTTTTTTGTTTGGGTTTTTTTTTGTTTTTTTGGGGTTTTTTTTTGTTTTTTTGGGGGGTGTTTTTGTTTGTTTGGCTTTTTTGTTGTTTTTTTGTTTGTTTGTTTGTTTGGCTTTTTTTGTTTGTTTGTTTGGCTTTTTTGTTTGTTTTTTGTTTGGCTTTGTTTTTTTTTTGTTTGGCTTTTTTTGTTGGTTTTTCTTGGGTTGTTTTTTTTATGTTTTTTTGGGTTTTTTTTTTGTTTTGTTTTGTTTTTTGTAAACACCTGAACTGAACATGCACAGAATACATGTATTTTTAAAAAATCATGTGGTTCTCTTTCAAATGCATTCTCCAGATCTGGTACAAACCCTAAGAGAGCTGCTATCTCTAAATCAAGCCTGTGCCTCAAAAATCTGCTTTGGATTCAGCACAGGAGAGAAGCTTTACATATGCCCTTGTTGTGGGGATAATACAAAGTGTGTACTTTGTGTACATTCCTTTCAACTGGGAAAAAAAGGCAGAATTTCCACTCTCACTGGGATTTCCTCTCTTCTTGATGGAGGTGGGAGCTTTATTGATGCAGGTATTACCAAAGCATTTTACTTTTATTTTAATGAGACAACATCATTTGATTTTTTTTTTTTTGCATACCATACCTCAAATTCATCTTTAATTATTTTTTCCTCCAAAACCTCCCATGCCTACAGACATTTAATGCAGGTTAAAATATAACAAAGCAGCATTAATTAAGTGCCTTACCAGGCATGATAATCTCAGGAAAGCCCATTTTCCGAGCCACTGCTGTTGACCTGTCCACTAAGTGTGGAAACTCTTTCCTAATCTGATGGATATCTCCTGGAAGAAGTTTCAAAGTCACCCACAGACCTGTTGTGTAAAAAACCACAATTATGAAACTGCTGGGATTTATTCCTACTTACTAAAGATTTCTTTCTGGAACTTGAAAAATCTAAAAACATTAAAATCATTAGGTACATTAAGATAACTGATCTTCCTTTACTAAAAAAAAAAATAGAAAATATTTTCAAGCACTCAAGAGATCTCATCACTTCACACAAAAATATGAGTACAGCACACAGAATTATTTCTGATTATGTTCCATGTTCTTTGCAATGAGATGTTTATCTTCCATAGGGAAAAAAGAGAAGGAGCAAGGATGATTGGCATGGAAAGACCCCAGGATTCCAAGCAAGCAATACCAGCAGATCCAAACTTATTGATCACCACCCCATAAGCTGTTTTTACTGCTCTGAGCACAAAATCTACAGCATCAGCTTCATACAGCTGATGTTTTTCTGCTCAGTAGCAGAAGAAGCCACTAAAAAGCTGCTGCTTGCCAACTAACATCAGGCACATTTGTTACAGGAAAAAGGAAGATGCCAAAGTGGAAAAAAACCCGTAAAAATAAAAAAGGAACCCAACCCAAAGAAGCCTCCACTTGGTGAAGTGGCTGGCAATCAAGTTTAAGCACAAAATAATCACAGCAGCAATTTGCAGAAGAAAATCCTAAAATTAAAAGCTATGAAAAACACCCCAAAAATATTCATTCACGAAATAAATTGTGGGTTACCCTGTTAGAGAATTAACTGTACATTCATTTTGTGTACACTTGGCAGCTTGTCTTTTCCATGGTATCTCTGTAAGAGTTTCTGGGCTGATTTGTTGCCAGGGATGGTTCTGACAGCTGCAATTTCACTGAGCTGCAACTGTACCTGCACTGACTGGCTAAGGAACAACTCCCAGTCCTTTTTCTGTCTGCTTGGGCACTCTTTTTTAGGGAAAGAATCTGGAATGAATCAAAGACACTGAAATGTTTCCTCCTGTGGGATACACACTGGCCAGAGGTGAAAAACAAGGAGGGGAAGCAGATGAAACTTTTCCTCATTAGCTAAAGGAGAATCTAAACAAAGTTTATATAAAATTTTGTTTGCTATTAAATAGCAAAAATCAGGGAAAAGTATGCAGTTTTCCTGGTCAGATGTGGAGTGATACAGATATTCACAGAGTGTTTGGTGGAAACTCTGTATGAATCAGCATAACTCCACATTAATCCAGAATTCCAGAAAATATTGAAAGCATCAGAGGAATAACTGGGCACAGACACATGATGATCATGGCATCACACACAAAAATAAATCAACCCAGAGCAGTGGCCTAGAGAAGGTAGCAGGGAAGGTTTCAGAGGGGTTGCCTGGCTCTGGCTCCCTCCTCACCTCCTGTGAGCTCAGATCTCCCGGGGAAGGAGCAAAATGCTCCAAGTGCAGCTGCAGAGAGCAAAAATATGGGAAAGGAAGAGAAGGGAGGGAACATCCCTTCCTCCAGCACGGAGAGGTAAAATCCCACAGCTCAAGGGCACAAGAGGCGAGTCCTTGAGCCAGCACCTCCAGCAGAGGATCTGCCATGGGATGGGTGGGGCTGGAAGGGACCTCTGGAGATCATCCAGTCCTGCCAAGGGGAGCAGGTGACACAGGAACGTGTTCAGGTGGGTTGGGAATGTCTGCACAAAGGGAAACTCCACATCCTCCCTGGGCAGCTGTTCCAGAGCTCTGCCACCCTTCATGGAAAGAAATTCTTCCTCATGGTGAGGTGGAACTTGCTGTGTTTTAGTTTATGGCCACTGCTCCTCATCCTGTCGTGGGGAACCACTGGAAAGAGCCTAGCCCCATGCCCTGGCACCCTCTGGATGTATTTATATGGAATAATGAGATTCCCTCTCAGTCTCCTCCTCCCCAGAGTATCCAGGCCCAGCTCCTTCAGCCTCTGCTCAGAGCTGAACATCAGAGATGTTCAGACCCTTGATCATCTTGGTGGCCTCCCCTGGACCCTTCTCCAGCAGAAATATAAAGACACCCGAGAGCTGAACAATGCTACAACATGCAGAGTCCACACTGGGCAGGGCAAAAATTATGGGGAAGGGGGAAGAGCAGGCTGAGCCCTGAGGAGTGAGGAAGGGAGGAACAAAACTGTACGAACAACTTTTTGATCCCAAAATCAAAACCACCATGACACGAAGCAAATCGAGGTGCACAGGAAGAGCAGTACCTACCCTGACCCTTGTGGTTGACTTCTTTAGCAGCAATCACTTTGTTTATAACAGTCTGCAGGAAATCATTCTCCCCTGCCACCCTGGGTGAAAAACGGGATGATATGTTCAGCTGCTTGTGTCGAATGGCGTCATCCAACGCTAGCCTGGAGGATGCACATGACGACCAACACCAGGAGACAAAGGGGCACAGAAAACCAGAAGTCACAGTGACAAGGGAACACAAAAGATCGTATCATAGTTGTGACAAAGAGTATTTATTAGTCAACGCAGGACAAAGGACAGGAAAGGTAACAAGAAAGACAGAGGGAGATCATTAATCAGAAGAACGCTGATCTGCCACAGAGAGTCCAGCACACCTGTGAGGGCTCTGCTCCCTCAGGGACAGGGACAGTCCTCAGGGAGCAGGGGGAGTCCCCAGTTACGCAGTGAAAACCCACACAGGCAGTTCTCTTTTGTATAAATATTGAGGTATAGATATATTCATAGCAGACTGGCCCTGCAACACCTCCAGGGTCACCTCTGTCATTCCACAGGTGGAGTGCCCGAAGGAAAAGCTCCCATCAATCTCACAGGGAAAAGGAGGAGAAGAGCAGACAACCCAAACTCGGTGAACAAATGAGAAGATGGGGACAATAAATAAACAGCAGCATTAGGTGGCACTGAAGTAAATCTTGCCAGGTGCTTTTGACAGCCATTGTGCTGGTGGCCAGTGAGTGAATACAAACAAAGATATGAAAACAGAATTGCATGTGGTACAACAGAAACAAAGCACGGGATGAGGAGAAAAATGTGCCTCATATACACAGCCCAAGTGTAATGTTGGAAATGACAACACCCTGCGTTTCATTTCTACCTTATTCATGTCCTTTGGGATAGACTTTTTCAGGAGAATGTTCTCATTTATTACAGGGGAAAAAGAAAAATCACATTGTGCATCTTTTTAAAGCTCTGTGTATATGTAACAGGGAAAATGAATCAGTGCTAATGGAGCAGAAAACTGGATGTTCCATTAGCACCCCCTCTGAAAGGTTCATTTTCATTACATACTTCCACACTGGCTAAAAAACAACTTTGCTGTTGTTTACCACACAAGAAATGTATCCTTCTCTTCCCCAAACCCCATTTTCCTTGAAAAATGGAATTGCACTTCGATTTTGTCATTATCCTGTCAGGACATCACACCTGGCAGTCCTCTCACCAGCCCTTCACCTTCAAACCACAAGGGCTCCCTGAATGATGCCTCTTTCTCAAAACAAAGTTAATTTATGATTTTATTACATCAAGCTTTTTAAAAAAATATTATTAAAAGCCCATCTGAATACCCATTAGTGTATTAATCAAGGAATTTAGCTCCCCTAACTATGTTTTGCCTCTTGGAACAGATGGCAGTCCAACATATTCCACAATGGGAGAACTAAGCATCCATGTAAATTTATTATTTATTTATTTACTTTATGTAAATTTATTTGCTTATCCCTTCTACCCTTCGTCACTTCATGGAAGTAAAAACTTGGGATTTATGGATGGATCAAGATCTCTGTTGATCTCAGCAGTGAACTTACTGTAAGAATTTCACCTCTTACACATACTCCCCCTGATATCTTGAAACAAAAAGAAAACAAGGCTGTAGAACTGGGAATACATACTCTAAACTCCAAAAACCCTAAAGTTTCTGGAGATATCACTGCTGCAGCTAATGGCAAATTATCTGGGAAGATATATTAACAATATTACTCAGGAGAAAATATCCCAGGGAAAGAAATTAACTTAAAATATTAGCTTTTTTTTAAAATCAAAATTAAAATCTTGGTTTTTTCACTCCTGCTTGTTCTTGCAACTGCTCCCTACTTACGGCTGGAAGGGGATGAAGTGCTGCTTGTCCTCATCATCAACCTTCCCGTTAATGATGTCAGTAACATCCATCACTGCAAAGACAAACCAAGGGCACTGAGTGAACTCAGCAACGTGGGAAGAGGGAACCCCCCAGGGAACTGAAGCCACAGTGACTCAGAAGAGGGGTGGAATTCCCAACTGTGGAATTTCAGAATTGTCTATGGAATAACACAGAGCAAACGAGCTTTGGAATCTCAGCTGCACAAACCCTGGGGGGTACAGGATACAGCAACCAGTCTGATGGGATTTGTAACAACTCTGAGTTTATACAACCCCACAACAGCTGCACCACCCAGTTTCCAGGGAAGAACTGAGGAGGAGGTGGAGAGACCAGCCCAGAGGTACCTGCCACCCCGAAGGGTCGGCGCAGCCCCGAGGTGAGCTTCCTGGTGTTGTTGTCCCGCAGCTCCATCCGGCCCACGCGCACGATCTGGCACACAAAGCTGATCTTCTCTCTCTTCAGGTCCTTGCTGCCCAGGTCCTACAAACCATCAGGCTGCTTTTCAACAGCTGAATTTCCAGTTCCATTTCAGCAGGCAGAGGGTTTGGTGCTCAGAATCTGCCTCTAACAAAAAGTGCTCGCAGAGCAGAGCAGCTTTTGCAACAGTACTTCAACATCTCACTGGAGTTCTGTGCAAATTAATTCCTTAGGAGGTCAAATCATTTCTAGTACGTCAAAAGTCCAAAAATTCACTTTGGTTTTTCCCAGGTGTTGAGAATATTTAGCAGCCACTTAGGAGAAATGTCTCATGCAAGCCTCCGGCAGCAGAGAATTGTGGAATGGTTTGGGTTGGAAGGGACCTTCAAAATCATCTTGTTCCCACACTAGCAATGAGCAGGGACACATTCCACTATCCCAGGCTGCTCCAACCAGGCCTTGGACACTTCCAGGGATACAGGAGCCATCACAGCTGCTCTGGGCACCCTGTGCCAGAGCCTCCCCACCCTCCCAGGGAACAATTCCTTCCCAATATCCCATTCATCCCTGCACTCTGGCAGAAGCAGCCATTCCCCTTGTCCTAGAGCCCCTCCCCAGCTCTGTTTGCCCCTGCAGAGTGCCCCCACTGGTCCCCACACAGCACCCAGCTGCTGCCCACCCCAGGGTGGCCCCAGGCCCGGCAGGGCGCACTCACGGTGAACACGGCCCGCAGGTTGTGCAGTCTGTCAATGTCCTTGGGGAGGCCACAGCTCGACCACCTCACCAGGTAGTTCTCACTGAAAAGAACAATATTTTGAAGACTTTTTGTATAAAACATAGAGCAACAGAGCCACAGAATGCTTTGGGCTGGAAGGGATCATGAAGAACATCTCGTTCCATCCCCTGCCATGGGCAGGGACACCTTCCACTGTCCCAGGGTGCTCCAAGCCCCAGTGTCCAACCTGGCCTTGGGCACTGCCAGGGATTGGGACAATCCCACAACCTCTCTGGGAAACCCATGCCAGTGCCTCACCCCCTCCCAGGAAAGGATTTCTTCGTAATATCCCATCTGAATCTACCCTCTTTCAGCTTAAAGCCATTCCCCCATACCCTATCACTGAACGCCCTTTAACATAAGCAGATAAAATCAACTTCAGAATTTACAGGAGACTTTTCAACCCAATTTCCTTTTCCTAAGGAAACAAGTATTGAGCAGGGAGCATTTCCCTTACATCTACCCTCTTTCAGCTTAAAGCCATTCCCCCATACCCTATCACTGAACGCCCTTTAACATAAGCAGATAAAATCAACTTCAGAATTTACAGGAGACTTTTCAACCCAATTTCCTTTTCCTAAGGAAACCTAAGTATTCCTAAGTATTGAGCAGGGAGCATTTCCCTTAGTGCACACAATTTTTATAAAGAAAGCAGCTCCTCAGCAACCAAGTGTGGGAATTCTGCAGCTCAGCAACGGCACAGCCCTTGCAGGTGTGTTCACCTTGAATTTCCATCTGTTCTTGGGGAATCACAAGCACAGCACAACCTGAAATGTGCCCCAAGTGAAGGGACCAGCCTATGCTTTTCACAGAAATTTGACTTTGCTAAGCCCCAGAAGTCCCTCAGTACCATCCCTGAGAGAGCACAGATAAAAAAGGCCCTGACCTGATGAATTTGGATTCCAGGGGGTCATACAGAGACATCAGGACTTCAGCATCTTCTCCTATTTTACACACGACGTTTTTTAAATTTACAAATAAAGCAAATGAAGGAGTGGCAGCAAATTTTGCTTGTCTGTTGATATCAATATTCTGCTTCTGAGACTGCAATTGAAGAACAAAATAAAGTTTAACTTAGCCTAACAGACATCCAGCTGCTATAAAACTTTCCTAAAACCTTCCAGAAAGGAGGTTTCCATTGAGTGTCTGCTCCTGTGATCTTTTTTCTGTTAAGTTTTATGACAGACAGATTTTCTGGATCTGTCTTGAAGTGCCACACCATAAGGAAGAAGTTAAAAAAGAAAATAAGAGAAAAAGGAGAGAAAAGATGTCTTCACTTATTAAGTAGAGAGAAACAGATGGAGAAGAAATAGAGCCCCAAACATACCTGAAAAAAATCCAGGAACACACAATAAATAGAAACAGAAAAGTTCTTCCCTTCAAAAATAAGGATTTTGAACTCCAAAGATGCTGACAGTTCAAGACTGAGAAGGGCTTTAAATTTGCCCCTTTTATTTCAACAGTAAGTGTTTAGGATTGGCATAAAGAAACCACACAAGAATGAGGATTTTAGTCTTTGTGATTCTCAAACAGAAATTCTGACGACAACCTAACTTACAAACCTCTCACATGCACATCTGATATTAACTCACAAATGCAGCTGATTTATTCATACAGGTCTGAACCATAAATTCCACTAAAGCCTTTAAAGGACGTAAAAAACCCCAGCCTAACACAAAACTTCTTACAAAATTTTTAAGCCTGATAATTCTTCATAAACACATCAAATCCCTCATTACCAATGCTAAAAATAACAGTCATCCAATTAGTTTACAGCCTTGTGTTTCCCAGGGAAAAGCCACAGAGTCTCTCACTTTTTCCTCCTGTAGCCTCTCTTCCACTTGCTTGGAAGCAATTTCATGTGCTCTGAAAAGGCTGATGGTGCTGGTCTGCTCTGGGTCCAAAATGTTGCCATCTTCATCTCTAACCACCAGATCTAAATCCAGAATTCTAAACAAGGCAGAAAATATGTTTGCGAATTAGCAGAGCTGAAAGGAATGCACAAAAAGCACCTGCCAAGTGTTCAACGAGCACACCTGACACGTGATGGAAAAGAGATTATCTGAGACGTGATAATGCAATTTAACATGTCAGCAGCCTGGAGATCCAAGTCACTTATTCCCACAGCAAAGGGAGAAGGGATGGAAATGAAACAGCACAACAGCTGGGGAAGCAACTTCCTAAACAAACAAATTTGCCCGAGACTTGGTCGCCTCCTCTGATTTATCCAACAGTCTGAACAACCAAGTCCCACCACACACAGCTCGTGTCTCCCACTCCCAACTCATGTTTTACCCACACCCCACAAGATGAGGCAGAAGTTGTTTCCTTTTTTAAAGCAGAAGCCAGATCTCTGTCAGCAGGGTGTTAACATCCATAATTACCTTCTGGAGAGGAAGCTTTCTGCCACAATCAAATCCAGGCTCAGGAAAAAAAAAAAAATCACTTTTCTCCACATTTTCCACAGCGCTGGCAGCAGCAGCAAGGGTTAAAAAATCAGGTCCCTTCCCTAAGACTGCCTTTGTCACCTCCACCCCAATAAATGTGTCCCTATTTCCTTTTAACTCCATGGTCAGCTCTCCCAGTGGAGCTGCTCTAACTTTTAGAGCTGAAATATGTTTGATCAATGAGCTTAAATCAAATTTGCTGTGTCTGCTAAGTCACACAGGGGTTCATGATTTATCTGAAAGTAAATTCCAGCTGGGCACAACCTGCAAGGACTTGGAAACAGGAGCTGTGGCACACAGATATTTCCATGGACTTGGAGGATTCCTCCTCACCCTTGGAAGTGTTAAACCCTTGAGTGGGGTCAACACCCAAACCCCTCCAATTAACTGCACTGCATTAATTGCAGGAGACACAAAAATCATTCAAGCTGCAGGGTGGAGGCAGCAGATTTTTAAACTCTGCTCTGGAGCTGGACCCAGTCAACACAAAACTCTCCAGCATCCCCAGAACATCTCACTCCCAGATGAATTTTCTGGTGAGAAAATGGTTTCATCACTGAAAGCAAACAGAAAAGCAGCCCGAGTTGTTTTCTTCCTCCCTACTACTGTTCCCTGGACAGCAGCCACAGCAGGAGAAACACCCACAGAGCACTGGAATTGTCAGAGTCCTTCCATGGGAGAAAGTGCCCAGGACAGGGGAAAAGCTCAGAAATTCAGGGGAAGTCTCATAACCCAGGCTACAACACACCAATGTTTGCACAGGCTGTCAAAGGAGTCAAAGCAACCCCTCCTTTGATGCAATTCCTTTGTTTTAGCCTTTAACTTGCAAATGATGCTTGGGAAAAAATCTGATTTTTTTTTTCCTGAAGTGTCCCAGTTACAGACATTTGCAACTGAACAGAAAAACTCAGCTTTTTCACAACAAAATTACCTGACCCAATTTCAGAAAGATATTAAAAATACAGATTCCTAAGGCCATTTTTGCTTCCTCAGTTATTCTGACAATATGCTGCAAAACTTCTGTCTGTATTTACAGAAGGAAAAAAAAAACTTATTTGCAAATCAGTGTTTCACAAGTCAGGAAAGGTCAGGACATGATTAGGACAGAAAACACTTAGAATTATTTGGGTTGTGACCTCAAAGGTGACCTAGTATTTACAAAGCAGATAATGAATTCATTCTGTCTGGATCCTAAAATCCCATTCATGCTCCTTTTAGGCACAAGTGAAGGGTTTAGGGTTTTATTAGGAACATATGTTACCTTTCAGTGGTGAGCATTCACTCAAAGTTCACATTCACCTCCCTCCTGCACTCCCCAGAGAACCTTCTGATCACTTAATTAGTCCATCAGAACATTACAGATACAAAGCACAGCACAAGATGTTCCACTGGATCTGCAGGCTGAGCATCTGGAGGTTATTCAGAGCAACTTCTACCAACTCCTTGGGCAGATGGTGAAATCCAGCAGCCAAACAAATAATCCCAACATCTGGGTAATTGTCTGCAGAGGTACCACTGTCCATACCTCAGACTGCAAATGATAATTACTGACTGATGGAATGCAGTTACTGATTTTTTTTTTTAATTTATTTTTTTAATCACAGCTTTTGCTGATAAAGTACACGAGCAGAAATCCTGCAAGTTTGGCAGTTCTTAAGGAAACAAACAAAAATAAATTAAATATGGTGAGATATTTGCATCACAAAGCATTGAAAGACTGGGCTGATGCAAACTTTTTCATTCCCCAGGTGTGCAGGACAACAGAATCCCACACAATGGGCAGGACTGAAGGGAGCACCACAACATGTTTTGTCTCTCAGTATTCAAAACACTGCTTCCAATGATGAGGAGTAAGATTTCATTTCTTATTTTTGATCAAAAATGCAAAATCATAATTGTACAGACAAGTTATAATCTAAAACTTGTGTTTACAAAAATTGTCTTTAAACCCAGCCAACCATCTGGGGAGAGACAATACATCTGAATCACTGAAATATCCAACACATGCAACCTGCACTGCTTTTTGGGGCAATATTTCCTTCCCAGCTTCCACTCTCTTGTGCTAAATAGCTCCTTTCTTTTATGAAATCTCCCTGCTCATCTCGTGCTACCAGCTGGATGCTGTGGAAGGAGAGGAACCAAGAGCTAAATGGTGCTTCTGAGCCAAATCCTTCAACATCACATTACAGCTGAGTGACTCGAGGGCACAGGCAGCTGGTGCTGCTCAGAGGGTGACAACTGTTTGTGCCACAGAAGCAAGCGGAGTTTAAAATTCTATTTTCAAGGCAGGCAATACTTGCACTTTTGAATTGGCCTTAAAAAATTACAGCTTCATCCCATTGTCAAATTGATGATACCATCAAGAGAGAGAGATGGATTCCACTTTACATATTACACTTTAAAGATGCTGCCTCAACTTCAATCTTTATCTTGCTGTAACAGAAGTGTGAATACACAAATATTTCATCTACAGCTCCAGGGGGAAAAAAAAAATCCTCCAAGAATTCACTGACAGCTGATGTGTCTTACACAGGGTGATCTGGATTCAGGCAGAAAAACTTGAGAAATGCTGTTCACAAACCTGTTGCCATAATCAATTTTGGCAGTCACTTTCTTTTTCAGCTCCTTGAGCTCATCCTGGGGCAGGGTCCCAGAGAGGATTTGGGATCTCCACTCGATCAGGTCGTAAATCATGTGCCGGACGCTGCGGAACATTTCCCTGTTGTCCTGCTGTTGTGGGGGGAAAAAATGGGGGAGAAATCAGGTTTGAAGGCTTGGGAACACACAGGAAAAATTGCAATTATCAATAGGAGTTCAAAGGATAAGTGTACAGCAGCTCTGGAGCAGGAGCCCAACAGAACAGTGAATATTCTGAGTGTTGCACTCAGCTTCAAGGAGCTAAACTGGTGTAAAAGCTTGGGTTTATGTTACCTTAAAACCTGGCTCATGCTGTTTTCAGGCATCCAAGGGGAAAATGTCCTTTTATTGATTCCCAGGGTAGCTTTGTTCAGTGACCCTCTGCACTGAGCAGAGCAGGAATGAAAACGGTGCATTTTAACAGCAAGAGGCTCAAGTTCTGCTACAGATGGGAGAATCCTCTCTCTCCCTGCTTAAACCTCCACAACAACACTTGAAAATCCCTCATTGGGCACATCAGTGCCATACAAGTCCACAGGTAACTTTTAAAGGACAGTGAAACACCAGGAAAGACCTAAACTTGGTAGGAAGTTAAATACCTCAAGTGTTTATGAAGCCTGGAACTGTGGATATTAAATACTGCCAGCAGCATATACAAACTTTCCTTGGCACCACTCAGCTAAGCTAGGAATAATTAAATAATTACAATAAAATTTTCCACTTAAAAAAAACCACCCAAGGAAAAACTGCAGAAGATGCAGGAAAAGAACATAATGACTCCAAGACTCTAGGAAAAGGATATCTAACTGTGAAACTTAAAGACTTCAGTCTGTTCAGATTATCCAAAAGCTGGCTTGATTATAGTGGGAGAACCTTCACAGAGAGAAAATACCCATTATTAAAAGCTCTTTAATGCAGCAGAGGAAGACACAACAGGCACATATGGCCGGGAGCTAAATACAGACAAACCCAAATGGGGATGAGGTTCCTGATTTTCGAGGCTGCAGGGAATCATAAACCAGAGAGATGGGAAACATTCCACATCCCCTGCTCTCTTCAAACAAAAACTGAGCATTCATTCAAGATCCAAACACAAATTACAAACTGAATCAAGGCATAAATGTGACCATTTAATGGGTTTTGATATGCAAGATAGGGACAGCATGGAATATTCCTCAAGCCTGCAGACTGCCCAGTCTGAAACCAGTTACCTCCAGTAAACCAAACTTGCCCTGATTGCCTGTTCCTGGATACAAAATTATTAGCAAAGAACTAAAGTATTGTTTAGCACATGGAATCATAGAATGAAATGGTTTTGGAGAGACCTTAAAGCCAAGCCAGTCCCACCCACAAATTCCACTGTCCCAGGGTGCTCCAAGCCCCACCCCACTTCCCATCCTGGAAGTGCCCAAGGCCACATTGGACAGGGCTTGGAGCACCCTGGGATGGTGGAAGATGTCCCTGCCCATGGCAGGGGGTGGCACTGGGTGGGATTTAAGGTCCCTCAGAATCCAAACCATGCTGGGATTCCACAGCAGTGGAACCAAGGGCAAAGCTGTTCCCGGTGCCCTCCTGAGCTTCTGTTCCTCCTCCTTTATTTCTGCTCCTTCCCTGCTCCTCACCTCACAAACTCCCTGCTATTCCAACTCCTTAAAGCTCTCTCTTTAACACATAATCTGTTTCTTTTCATAGAAGATATTATCCTTCATCTTCTATATTGCCACACGACATCATTTCCATTACACTCTTACTCCTAATCTTTATTTTCATGGGTGTGATTAAAAGCCACATTAGTCAGCACAAACGTCTTCATTACACTCGGTGTCTTCACTACACAGCTTGCACTTTTATGGTACAAGATTTCAAACATATTTATGGGAAACAGAGACTGCATTAAACCCTGCTTTAAATAAAGGAATTTCATGTTCCCATTATCTTGTTACAGTGACCTTGCACAATGAGAGCATCACAAGTGTGGGCCAGGTACCTTAAATCCCACAGCAGGCCCTGCTTCACATCTGAACTGCACTTTTAAAAAGAAGTTTGAACTTTTGATCTTATTTATATGCACTTTCACCTCTGGTTTTGTTACCTTCCCATCTGAGAGACTATCAATAATTATCCCTGCAAATTTCTAAGAATATATTCTTATGTGGCTGAAACCTTAGCATATCAAAATAAGCAAGTATGCAAATTAAGGCGCCAAGATTTGGGAACAATCAACTTTATGTAAAGGAATACTGAGAGGTTAAAGACCTACATTGATAATTTTAAAAAGCTTTCAATTTACACCCACAAATTCAACACTAAATATTCAATTATTTCATAACAGAGACCAACAGCCTTAAGAAACAGCCTAAAGACCATTTCTTGAATAAAATTACATGTTAAATTACTCCAAATCTGTTATACCTTAAAAATAAAACATATATGTTTTCTATGTGTTTTATCTATGTGTTTTCTGTGTTTTATCTATGTTTTTTTTCTATGTTTTATATATAAAACATATATGTTTTATATATATTTTTTCTATGTTTTATATATATTTTTTCTATGTTTTATCTATATTTTTTCTATGTTTTATATATATAGCATAATAGAACCTACACAAAAAAGGGATTGTAACTGCTCAACAAACTATTGCTGGATCAAGGTAACACTCAAAAAAACCCCTGATTCTGCACAAGAAAATAAAGAGATTTGAGCAAACAGGCAAGACATTTGTGCTTCAACAAGCACAAAAAGCTACTGAGATTTGTGCTATAACACAGATGATGCTACATGGATTTTCAGGACTGAAAGTGACCTTTAGAAACAACAACAGAAGGGAAAATTCAAGAAGAATTCCTTCATAAATAGCAGTTCCCTCCCATTTCTCCTGTACCTTTCCCAGCACCACTTTCCCCATAAAACCCTCCTGGTGTGAAGGTTTTCCTGAGCTGTTCTCACCACATAGAGCTGTCTCCAGATGATGGACCATTCCCTCAGAGTGGTGGTGACCTCCTGGATCAGGGGCAGCTCGTTGGGGATCACAGTCTCGTGTTGGCTGAGGAGGAAGAGTTAAAAGAAAAGGCTGAATTGGGCAGCAAGTGCTGTGAGAATGAAGAAGCACAGAATTTTAAGGACTGAAAGGAGATTTAAGGTCACTGAGCACAACCAGCACCACCATAGTCACCACTAAGCCATGCCCCCAGTGCCACATCCACAGTTTCTCAGCAACTGCAGGAATGGTGATGCCACCACTGCACAGAGCAGCCTCTTCTGTGGAAATTTTTATATCTCATCTAGATCACCTGATCTAGAACAATTCCTGATGAAGAACTGTTCATTTACAAAGGGAACTGAATAGAACTGGGTTGGAATTAGCGTCACTTGTAAATTTCCAAGCAAAAATAAGATGTTATCAGATATTGAAGCACACCAGTAAAACCACACCATGAAAAAAGGTACTTGGATGTGCTCAGATTATGGAATCATGGAATGCCCTAGGTTGGAAGGGATCAAAGATGATCTTTGTGATGATCAAAGTGATGCCTTGTCAAGGCTGACTTAGAACAGAGGCTGGACATAATTAAATAAAGTAGGGATTGATTCAAAGGATCTCCTCCATGGATGCCCCTTGGGCAGCACCAGAGCCCAGCCAGGGCTGCCCCCAGGATGAACCCAAATGGCCCCAAAATGCACGAGCGCTGCCGGGGTCTCTCCCTGGGCTCAGCTCTGCTCCATGTGCACATTGCAGTTCAGTGTCCAATCCCACTGCAGCCCCTGCAGTCCCACCCTGCTTGTTTTTCCCTCTTCAACCCAAAAAACAAGATAAAAACCAGATGAGCCCAACCTGCTAGGCCACCATGCTGCTCTTTAATTGTTTTGTTTTTTTTTTCCAAAATATTGATCTCGCAATGAAAAATTAAGATTTTCCTTTCCATGAAGTTTCTGTATTATTTGTTTTAAAATGAGGTGCCATGAAGGTAAGAAACACCAGCCACCTCTTTGAATATTGCAGAAGTAGGGTGCTTAAAGGCAGTTTTGCAATCAGCAAGGAAGATGTCATTATGCAGCAATCTCATGATTAGTAGTTTGATCATTTACATATTTAACAGAGTATAAAAATAAATCAGGCACAAAGGAATAAAACATTTTAATCCTGTTTCAGTCCATTTCATACCTGGGTAATGATTTATTAATTTCACTCCACCTCCTTTTTCCTGTGGATTTGGTTTCTTTCCTGGTTTTTAACTGAACTTTTATACTCATGTTAAAGACTTCTACCTGCATGTCCACCAAAGCTGATTTGATACATAAGGATCTGAAGAGCTGCTGAACAACAAATACAGCTCAGGGTACTGCACACACCAGGGAAAGGAACAGGAAAAACACAAATTAACTCCTCAGTGAGGCAGAAAACTACCTGGAAACAAGTGTAAGTTACCTGGTAATGCATTGAAATGATGTGGATAAAGCAGGAAAAAGGAGATTTGTTCTTTTTAAAGCCAACTTACCCCTTGCCTTCAACGATTGCTTCCTTAAGATGGATATAGGAGGCAGGGAATATGCCCTTGGAGAGGGAGGGAGAGGAAAAAAATGTTATTTAACCAGCTGCACACAACAGATTGTGTTTATTACCTAAAATATGCCAAAACACTGCTGGGCCTGCAGAGCCATTCACATCCTCAAGCACCAGAAGAGTTGTGTTTGGGACTTCTTTAATATACATTGAATTTTTGCATTGCCTGTCCTTTCAAGATCTTATTGCAACCTTACAGCTTCTCTGAAAAAATATTCTAGATTCATCAAGATGCCAGAAATAAAACAATAGTTTTAAAATAAACTAAGTCAAGTTGATAAAGCAAATTCCACCATCTCACCCTTCAAGGTAGGAGTTCAGTTTTCTGATCATCTGGGAATGCAATAATAGAAATTTTTGGGAAGCCACCAGGGAAAATAACGCATGGGCATGTGACTTTTTACTCCAGTTTAAAAATATTTAAAAATCACTAAATTTAGTGGCAGTCAGACAAATGCAGCAACATGTGGAGTTAATTTAAGGCAAGAAAAATGTATAATTGCTTCTCAGACTGTAAAAAGTACGTTCATGAAATATGGTTTATAAGAAATTCAATGTGTTCACACACAAAAAAAAAAAGAACAAAAAAAGACTAAAAACCCAGGCCTGGTAAGGAAATGGGTGGGATGAACCACTCAACTCTGTACTTTTAGACATGGAAACAACTAAAAACACACCTTTGGAGGCAAATATGGCACTTGCAGTGTTTCAGTGAAAAAAGCAACAAACCCTGAAGTTTAATTTTGTTTAATTACTACTATGAAGTAAAAGGCTCAAAAAATAAAACACGATGCTAGAACCAGTATTTGTGTGGTTTCCTCTCAGAAAAGTTCCTCTAAATGCAGCCCTTGGTGCACACTGAAATTCCAGTGCAGGAGGAGCCTCCTCCTCTCTCCAAAGGGAACAACTGAAAACTCACAAGGTCAGGGACTGCATTTCACCAGGAATTCAGCAGAGTCAGCCTCTGAACAGACCAAGAAGAACATCAAGGTCTGAACTTTTCACTGAGGAAAAGTTTGGTGCAGCAGTTTTGCACACAAAAAAAAAAGATGATGCATGTCAAGGTTTAGTGACTGATTGATCTATGAAGTACAAAAAGTGGGATCACAGAAATATAAAATAGCCTGGCTTGGAAGGGACCTTAAAGCTTACCAAGTCCCACCCCTGCCATGGGCAGGGGACACCTCCCACTGTCCCAGGCTGCTCCAACCTGGCCTTGGGCACTGCCAGGGATCCAGGGGCAGCCCCAGCTGCTCTGGGGCTTCTGCTCCACAGAATCTGGGGCTGCCCCTGGATCCCTGGCAGTGCCCAAGGCCAGTTTGGACACTGGGGCTTGGAGCAGCCTGGGACAACAAAATGTGTCCTTGCCGTGGCTAGAGTGGCACTGGATGAGCTGTAAGGACCTTTCCAGCTCAAAACATTGGGCAATTCCAGGAATTCCATCCCAGCCCCTCCCAAGGAAGAATTCCTTCCCTATATCACATCTAAACTTCCCTTCCCTCAGCTTAAAGCCACTCCCCCTTGTCCTGCCCCTCCATCCCTTGTCCCAAGTCTCTCTCCATCTTTCCCACAGCTCTTTCAGGCACTGCAAGACCACAGTGAGGTCACCTCAAAGTTTGCTTTCTCCAGGCTGAACAATCCCAGCTCTCCCAACCTTTCCTCCTCCCAGCAGAGCTGCTCCATCCCTGGGATCATCCTGTGCCTGCTCTGGACTCTCTCCAGCAGCTCCACGTCCTCCCTTTAGACCCCAGAGCTGGATGTGCCGCTCATCTTTTAGGCCTTGCTCAAATCAGTTTCTATTAACTTGGGAAATTCCCACTGACCGGAGGCTGAGGACACAGAGCAGCAGGGATCAGTGCACACCTGGGATCCAGCTCCATCAAACCCACACAGCCAGGGCCAAAACCCATCTTAGTGCAAGGGAAAAATGAGGAACACACCCTGGCAACACTCACCTTCTTGGATTTCTTCCGTAGTGTATAACCCCTGTACCAACCTAGGAGAGAAAAAAGGGGACAAGCATTAAAATGTTCATTTATGGCACCTCCCAGCTGCTCCTCCCCAGCTCAGCAGCACCCTAAGGTGGTTTCTGATCATGCTTCAGCCCTGCACATCCCACCTCAATCTCAATTTTCCATGGGTTTAGATATCCTAGATAAAACAAGTCGTCCTGGGAGGTGTAAAATCAGAGTGATAATGGAGAGAAGTACATGGCAGAGAGGTGGTGCACATGATGCGTTTAATTGCTGTGCATTTAATTTTAATTACTAATTCACCAACACCAACAAAACCAACTTAAGAGCATTAACTTGACAAAAATTTACTGATAGGCTACTTCCATTTCAAAACCCACTTTAATTCCACAAATGCAAGTCTTCAGGAAACAAATGCACCTCACCAGGAAACAGGAATACTTGGGAATTTAGGGTCACATATCAAAATACAAAAGCAAGGAGCCCATTTGGAAAACTGAGCCTGGATGCCACATCCACCCCTCCAGCCTGGCAAAGAAGGGTTTGTAGAGCACACCATCCCTGTCGAGGGGAGGATGGGGAGATCACAAAGCAGATGTGGAATAAAAACTGCAGTCCCAGTCCTGAGAACAGGGAGACACTTCCATGAAACCAACACATGCTGATAAATGCGTTATGCACAGAAATCCAAATTAAAGGCTGAAGCACAGGGGATCTGTCAGTCTGCTCTCCTGCAGCACAAGCCCAAGGGATTCATCACCTCCTCCCTGCAGCGCTTGGGGCTGGGTTAGTGCCACCTCAAAAATCTCAGATTTGGAACCACCACGCTCCACCTCCCAACAGAGGCTGCCACAGCCTCACATCCCACACTCCCACTGGGTCCCAAGGAACACCAAACTGAAATCAGCACTCCCAGCCACGGCCAGGTGCAAAGGAGGCAAAGTGGGAGGGTTCCCTCCACTGCCTGAAATCCATGCACAGATTCCAATCCTAATAAAAAACTGAATTCCCACAGTTCTAGATGAATAAAGCAACATTTTGAAGTCCTGGAGTTTAAACTGCTGAACAACTGAACTCTGATCAGATGCACTGCACAAACTGGAGAACAAACAATCATTATTTCTTCTCCTGTGCTGCCTCAGGACATCCTGTGGAATAACAGCCCTGGGGCAAAGACAGCTCCCCACGGATGAAGCTCTGCTTCCCGAAGCTCTGCAGCCAAAGCTGCCAGGATCGTGGAGGAGAGAGCAGCCAAAACCTGCCTTGGAGAACAGGCTGCACTGCTGCTTGTGTGGCCAGGCAGGTCCCACCAGGTTCCTCCTGGCGCTGGGAGCCCAGTGCAGCTCCCACTGGGGCAGCTGGGGACACTGGGGCTGCCCAGGAAGGGGCTCACATAGGGGCAGGGTCACTGAAAGGGTGAAGCCACCTCTAAACAAGTCCCCAAAATCATGGGAGAGCTGGGAATGCTCACCTGGAGAGGAGCAGCTCCAGGGAGAGCTCAGAGCCCTGCCAGGGCCTGAAGGGGCCCCAGGAGAGCTGGAGAGGGACTGGGGACAAGGGATGGAGGGACAGGACACAGGGAATGGCTTCAAACTGACAAGTGGGAGATTTAGATGGAATATTGGGCAGGAATTCCTCCCTGGAAGGGTGGGGAATGGTGGGACAGAATTTCCCAGAGCAGCTGGGGCTGCCCCTGGATCCCTGGCAGTGCCCAAAGCCAGGTTGGACACTGGGGCTGGAGCACCTGGGACAGTGGAAGGTGTCCCTACCATGGCAGGGGTGGCACTGGGTGGGATTTAAGGTCCTTTCCAGCCCAAACCATTGGGGGATTCCAGGAATTCCTTCCCTGGGAAGGAGGTGATGCCCTGGCACAGGCTGTGGACTCCTCATCCCTGGACCTGTTCAAAACCAGACCTTGCCCCTAAGAAATCTGGGACCAAACAGTTCAGATGTGCATCTAAGGAAATGCTCAACTAAGAAGGCACCAATTAAATATTTCTGTCAAAGCTGCAAAAGAAACTCAGAAATTTGCTCTGGTTATGGAAATGCTCAACTAAGAAGGCACCAATTAAATATTTCTGTCAAAGCTGCAGCAAAAGAAACTCAGAAATTTGCTCTCGTTACCCTCAAACAATGCATCCATTTTGACAGTTCCACTGCATTCACAAACAAAAAAATCTGCAATGGAAATTTGCTCTGGTTATCCTCAAACAATGCATCCATTTTGACAGTTCCACTGCATTCACAAACAAACAAAAAAATCTGCAATAAAAACTAAACTTTGCCATAATATCAATAATAACTTCTGTGAAAATCCTTATTTAGGAAGCCAAACTCCCTTCTCATGGCAGCACCAGAAATTAATTGATGCTCCAACAGTTAATCTTGATCTTGAGGTTGATTTTCTGTTACGTTTCCCAGCAATTCCCCTTAATCAGCCACATTTATTGATCATATGGTTTCGTTTGTCCATTCCATCAAATAACGTCAAGAAACAGAACTAAGACAATAAAGATGTGGAATGTACTAATCCAGAATGTGGATTCTCTCAATTCAGGAATTATTGCAGAAAACTAATTTAAGATAATATCAAACATACAGCGGGATGGGAGGAGCAGATGTGGACTCTAGCAGGTATCCATGAAAAAAGAAAACCTGCTTTTCCCACAGGGAAAAGGGGTAGGAATGGCAAAATCCTCAGCAAAAAGGCTTTAGTGACTCTCCCAACAACTTTTCTGTCCCAGGATTATTTAATTAGAGGGTTTTTCTTTGGATGGGCCCATTCCCACCTCAGCCTGGCACACACCTGGGAATTTGTAGGGTACAAAACCTCCCAGGGGCACAATCCACACCAATTTTACCCAGTGAAAGCAGGTGATCAAACAACTCAAACAATCCCCTGATCTTGGCAGCTCTGACACGAGACAAGGGTTACAGCATCATTAGATGTCTGTCTTGGGTTTGGCTGTTGTGCTTGGGTGATGGTTTTGTAGGAACAGTGATGTTGAGAGTTCTCTTGTTTGAGAGGCTCAGAAGAGAGGTTTGGTCTTTGTCATGGTTTAGGAGAGTTTTTTGATATTTAGGTGTCAGAGAATTTAGAGAAATAATAAATTAGAGAAGTAATGTTGCAGTTTTTCTTAATAAATTAAAATTTCATTATTTATAAGTATTAAAACAGGTTTAGATAATTGTGGTCTGTTGTGTTCAATATATTCTGTTAAGTATTAAACTGAGGATATTGACAGCTTTTCTAAACTTGTTACCCTTTATTTTTGTTTGATTTGTAAAAGTTTAAGTTTCCCCCATCTCAGGTCAGGAACGAGCAATGAGTGCTTGGGAGAACAAGAATTTGGATTTCTTTTACCATGAACTCACTCCATGTGCTCCAGGCCCTGAGAGGGTGAAGGTTTTACTCTATTTCCAGCCCAGGGGAAAAGTCCATCCCCACTGTCCCATTTACTTGGGAACAGCCAGCATTTATTAGGGCTTCAGCATCTGATAGGATTTCAGCATTTAATAGGGTTTCACATTCCCTGCTCAGTTTCTCCCACATTCATTAAATAAACCTATTTTTATACAGAAGTACAAAGCTGTGCAATATTTGAATCACTCCATTTGCATTTAAAATCTTTGCATTATTAGGGGTTTATTAAAGCATGCAACATCAGATAGCAGAAAGATTGCTTTGCTCAGAGTCAAACTTGGCATTGCAGCAGCAAACTGAGCTCCAAGAAAAGGCCAGCCCAGGAATAATGAGAAAATTCAAAAATTCCACTTCAAGTGATGATCAACTCTTAAAATAGCATTGTTTGTCTCAGTAAACATAATGTTTTAAGAAATCCAATTAATCCATTAACTAAAATAAATTTATCACCAGATCTACCAAAAGATCAATGTCTAGAGAAGCAAATTAAATCAATACATTGAAGTAAATCCTGTTTCCACAAGACAAACAATGTTGCACTATTTTAAACACACACTTTGGTTTTGTGTTCCCCACAACTCTGCAAACTGCAGCACACCATAAAACTCCAACTCAAGAATATAATGAAAGTTTTATTTTGCTTGGATTAAGAGCTGAAAATGTTCTGACAATTTCCACATCGTGTTGATTATCAAACTCGGCACTGAAATTCCCTTGTACAAGGATCAGGGAGGAAAGGCTTTGGTACAGGTGATGCTTGTAGAGTTTCACATCAAAAGAGGCACCTGGAAAAGGCTGAAATCAGTGCACAGCACTAACACAGGCACACATCTCAGCAGAGACACATAAATAATTCAAGACCCAGGTGACTTTCAAATTCAGATTAAACTTCTTGTAGCAGCAGGTTCTTTTGTATCACCCAGGGGTACCCAAAAAGCATCTCTCATTTCTCTCATGTGGGGGAGAGGCTACAACTGATCCACACAAACCCAGTTGTGGGAAAAGTCTTCTTCCCCAGAAAATCCAGTGCTTTATCAGCTCATCAATCCGTTTGCTTCACCTTCCAATTCAAGAGTGTCACAAACAGAAAAGTAATGCAATTCCCCCAAAAAAATTGCTATTTTTCAATTGAATTTTTGCCATCTTACCCTCATAAGTTTCCAGGATGTGCACGGTGTCCCCAATCTGCAAGGAGAGTTCATCTGGCCCCCTGGCATCGTAGTTGTAGAGAGCTGGACAGAGGGAACACTGCTGTTAGTACAGGCACAACAATCCCAGGGGTTTCATCACATCACTGCTTCTATTACTTGTTATTGCCATTCTGCACCTTTTTATTAAAAAAAAAAAAAATTAAGTTCCATAAAAATTCAGCCAACTTCTTAAATCCATCATTAATTCCTTTTGTAACAAAAAAACACCCCCAAGTTCACTTTCTAAAGCTGTTCCTTGCTGTGTTTATAAAGCTTTGCTTCTTCATGGCAATACACTCAATTTTTGTTGTATTTGCCAGCCTTCCACAGCACTTTGTGTCAATTTTAGGCAGTTCTACAAAGAACTGCTCTGTCTTCCCTGTCAGCTCAACACACAGAAAACTTACAAAGTGTCTTTAGAAAACTCCAATTGCCACGCTAACATTAAAGGATGATTTCTCAGTCATTTTCATACATTTACTGCATGCACAGGATGTTGAAAAATATTATTTCAGAATTTCTGAGTGGCAGAGGCAACTTCAGAAACCCACTGTTCAATAAACTACAACAAATCCAACAGGAATTCAAAGACCACTCCTCTCTGCCACTCCCAAAAGAAAATCTGGGCAACGTCCACAAACTCATCTGACAAAGAATGCTACAAACCAGGCTTGGTTGGGAAAAAATACTCTTGATCTGAAAACCAAAACAGTTACAACTCCAAAAGCCAAATTCTCATCAGTTTTATAAGGAGTAAATGTTATGTAGCAGAAAAAAAAAAAACATCTTCCAATATCAAGGAGGGTCCTCCTTGAAGACAGAGACTGAAATATTTCAGAAGATGGAAATTAAAGAACTTTAGTCAAGGTGGACCCACAGAAATGTCTTCTTCAACTTACAACTGCAGCTACTCCCTCCAAAGGGGATCAATAACACCTGAAAATCAGAATCTCCTCCAGGAATTCCTGTTTGTTCAGCCCAGAACTCCTGGAATTTCAGCTCACAACCAGATCACCAATAAATAACCCAATGGCTCACCAATAAACCAATCTATAACCCACTGGATCACCCATAAATCAATCCATAGGCCATTGGCTCACTAAGAAATTAATCCATAAGCCATTGGCCCACCAATAAATAATCAACTGGATCACTGATAAATAAATCCATAACCCACCGGATCACACACAAATCAATCCATAAACCATTGGATAGCCAATAAATAATCCATTGGATCACCAATAAATCAATCCATAACCCACTGGTTATGGACTGATTTATTGGTGGATCACCCCCAAATCAATCCTCCCAGGCTGGCTGGGTCCTTTTCTCTGCAGAACTCCTCTGGCTTGACAGACTTTAGAGTGAAGAGGTAAATAAATAAATCTGAGTGCACAAGTGGAAAAAAAAAGACATGGGAAAGCAGTTAGGAAAAAACACTGTATAAGGTGGAAGATTATTAATGGAATTAAAACACACCACAGGGTAAAAAGAACAAAGGTCAGGTGCACTGCAGAGACCAATATCATCAGGATTTAAATGAAGCTTTTAGAAAGTAACAGTTTTTACTGGCATCAAAACAAGCCAAGCTATTTGTGTTTTAATATCTTCCTTAATTTTGGCATTATTACAGACAGATAAACTCTCCCTCCCAGGTATCTGGCACAGGATATCCGAGAGCCATAAATGCCACCCTGCAGGAGAAGGGGGTTCTGAGAAAAACCTTCACAAAAATGAGCATTTTAAACTGCTCACAGTGGTGAACACAGAGCACGTGGGACAGTCTGCTTGGAAACACTCCTGAGAAATATTCTCATTTCAGCCTTTGTGCATAGCAGGGAAAACAAAGTCACACTAACTCCTCCAAACTTGCATGGCTGGAGTGCAGCATAAAAAGAAACCCAATCCTGAGGGTGTTTACTGAGATCCCTCCAATGCTCACAGCTCCGTCAAGGGGCCCCTGGGATGTTCACACATCCAGAAATGAATCCAAGGACAGTCTCCCACCTCCAGGACCCTGACAAGCAACTTCACTGACTCACACCAGACATCCCAGCCAGGAAAAATCTGCATTAGAACAGATTAAAAACCAGTCCTGTACTCAATTCACACTTCAGCTGAGCATTTCTCCGGCATTTAAGTGGAATAACGCTCAGGATCAAAGGCAGCTATGAATAAAAGGCACTAAAATTTATGCCCAAGAGTGCTCAAAGTGGTGTCTGTCACAACAAGGAAGGTCAGGCAGCAGGAGCTGCAGTGGAATGACCAATTCTTCTGACAGAAGATGACAAACAGCCATCAAATGGTAATTACTGCCCACGCCAGCTCCCACTGACCTCAGCTGACTGAGGAGCCGGGGGGGTGTGATTTATCTTCAAAAATATATATATATATGTGTGAAAAATATGTCTGCAAGAGAAAATAAATCACATTTCTGGCTTCCAACAGCACTGACAGATCATGAAGCAAACAACCCAAATAACTATAAAGTGCATTCCACCCCTGTGATTACAAAGCAAGGCTTGAACTGCACCACAAACTCCCCTGCAAGGGAGCAGGTAACTCCTCCTCACAGGAAGTTTTTTTTTTAATGTACAGTGGCATCAAAAGATGCTGTGATAGAAAACGTTTGATTGGAGCAAACAACAAGGCTTTAATTAAAGGAAAAGACAAAGTTTGGAGGAGTAAAGCATGAAACTCATATGTTTGCATTTTGTCTCATCAACTGCATCCTGAGCTATCATTTAAAATATTTAAAAACCTGAGGTATATCTTTCCATTTTTCAAGTTTTTTTCTTTTTGAACTGAAGTATGTTTTGCTTAATTTAAAAAATCCAACATCCACCCAAGGGTCCAAAAAGTACCAAAAGCAGAGGATTAAGTGTGGGCACAGAAAGAGGCGTTTTTTCAGCTCTAAGAGTTGATAAAAAAGGAACAATGAACAGGGCATTACAGTAATTGCACCAAACCCCATTTACCATTCAAGAACACAAACACCTCTGTGAGCTGCACTCAGTCTGCACACATCAGAAAAATGAGGGGGCCAACACTAGAAGAATTAGTGGTGGAAACAAAGGAACAAGCAAAGGTAACATCAATTTATGTTGGAAAAGCTTTTTTCTAACTGCACAAAAGGTAAGATATCTTAAGACAGCATAAAGATGTTACAGAGTAATATTCCCTGGCATTACTTTGCTTTAAAGGCTGTATTAATCATTCTGAACTCCTGAATGAACCCAAACTACATTTAACACACTACCAGCTTTATTTTACACTGGCTTTAAAAAAAAAAATCCCTAAATCCTAACTGTGCTTTTTCAATAAAAGCAGACAAATTGCAGAGGTGAAAGCAAAGTCTTTTGTAAATTCTCTGGTATTAAAAGACACCTGAAGGTTTTCCTGTTTTCCCTAAAATGAAAGTGGATGATTTGAGTATTCAGGCAGATTCCTTAGTCCTCTGATACTCACCCAGAGGAGCTCCTGATTTCTACACCTGAGGCTAATGGAGAAGCAAAAAGAAAAAAGCAGTGTTTGAGTCAGGAGTTACACCTGAGAACTTTAAGAGACAATTATTTCATATGTGCATTAACCAACGGTAGATCCTCTCCCCTTCACCTTGGGTTTTGTCATTCCTAGTCTCACCAAGCTTGATTCAGAGTTCTTTCTCAGTATTTTAATTATTCTGTTATCCAAACATTCCCACAAAAAATTATTTCCTGAAGAAAGAAGAATCCTGGAGAAATTCTCAGATCTGAGCAGTTACCATTAAGCTAAAGGAGAAAATCAGGCTTGAAGTTCCTCCTGGCCAGTGGTGCTCTAATCTTATTGATTAAATCCACAAATGTGACTTTTCTCACAGGATTAGCCCAAATCCCACAAGTTCAAGTAGATAGAAAGGATTTATCACCACTCTCCCTTACAAAGGTGAGATGGCTCCTTTTACTCCTCCTCTCTGGGAGCAGCAAATTCCTGAAAACACACCACGGTTCACCTGCAAACTCCTCCATCACTACACAGGGCATCTGTTGAGAGTGAGAGAACCCTAAAGCAGCCTCTGGAACCCCCAGGCTGAAATCCCTGCAATGCCAGCCTGCCTGCCTCTTCCAAAACCAGGACACAGAGTGAAGGGCCACCAAGCCTTTCTAAGCACCAGCAGGCACCCCAGGCTTCACACTGGATAGCAAAGGCAGCAATGTGTCCTGCATCACATTTGGTGTCTCTTCACTCCCTACCCAACGTGAGTTAATTAATTAATAAGATGAGGGAACTTCAGAAATCCAGAACAATCCCAAAGTTGGGGCCTTCCCAAAGTGCAACCACCCTGCTGAGCCCTGCTGGCAGAGCTGGAGGAGGACAAAACAAGATGCTTGTCCTTTCATTAAAAAATAGAGAAAGAAATAAAATCTGGAGAAAAGGAGGCTCAGGGGGACCTTGTGGCTCTGCACAAGGAGGGGACAGCCAGGGGGATCAGGATCTTCTCCCAGGGAAAGAAAAAAGAACACAAGAAATGTTGTTGTGGCTCTGCACAAGGAGGGGACAGCCAGGGGGGTTCAGGATGTGCTCCCAGGGAAAGCAAAAAGAACACAAGAAATGTTGTAGCAGGGGAGGCTCAGGTTGGACATCAGGAGGAATTTCTTCACAGGAAGGGTGATTTGACATTGGAAGGGGCTGCCCAGGGAGGTTTGGAGTGCCCACCCCTGAAGGTATCCAAGGAAGGGCTGGAGGTGGCATTGAGGGCTCTGAGCTGGGGACAAGATGGGCATCAGGCACAGCTTGGCCTTAAAGATCTTGGTGCTCTCTTCCAACCTGAATAAATCTGGGATTCTGTGAAATGAACAGTTCTGGACAAAGCCAAGATTTCCAAGAAGCAAGTTCAGTTTCTCGCTTCCCTCCCTCCCCCCTTTCAAGCCAGACACTTTATTTTTAGGGAGCTAATGAAGTGAGATGCTCAGTCACCATTTTACCAGCTCTCTCCCCTCCTCCTGGCTAATGTGTATGTACAGTGCTTCACCACCAAGTACTGAGGGTATAAAGCTGAAACT